TTTTCAGGAAAGTAAACCTCCAGGGGTCCTTTCCATATTTTTACAGAGACTGCATAAGGACCGTTAGAAAAGCATTACCCATTGATTATTAAGCTTGGACCAGTGGGGTCCGGTGTTCGGGCCCCACCACGTAAAACCAGTCCCCATGACGTGAGTGGAATCTCAGGTTATGGAACCCACCAGGAGTTGAAAACAAGTGCACACATACACACACACACATGCACACACAGATTCATTCTTTGCAATACATAGTTGGATAGATAAACACTTTATTAATTCTATGTGTTGTTACTGTTGTAATAAATTACCAACACAAGGCAAAAATCTATATTTACTTCAAGCGCATGTTGAAGTAACTTTTAACTTTTGGAATGTATTGTTCTTTGACTCATCAGAGACTGACCCATATAAAGAAGTGTGGATGTGGAACAACGCTCCACTCCTCAGACCCTCGGCTGCCCACTCCGACTCCTCGCTCCTACTTAACTATCTTTTTGTGGAAAGAGTCAGGAGGCCTTTTGTTAATCTACTGACAAATGAGGGCATTACAGAGTTATCCCTCCCTCTTCTGCAGAGTAAATTATAAACACATGTTTGATCGAGTCTTTGTCCTATAATAAATGTCCCATGTGAGACTTACCCCACGAGAGACATTAGCTGACAATAAGTTTAATACAGAGCATTCTAATGTACCTCAAAAATGTTTGTTATTCTTTATACGACACAGCAAAACATAAAACATAGCAAACTCAAACACAGACATAAAATAAAAAAAATTATACATTTAATATTCAAAAACGTCCACTTTATAATAATATACAAAATCTAGATGTACAATTTGTCTACTTCAATAGTATGTTTATAGCCAAAAATGTTATGTCAATGTGGTCATAATTTATGGATCAGGTAGAAAAAATAAATGCAAGATAGACTAGCAAAAAGCACAATAACTTGCTAAATGATTGGTAATTTAATGATTTAAGTAGAACTAGTAATTAACTGTAAGCCTGTCCCAACTTTAGACAGTGGAGAGAAGCCCAGTGTTAGATATTTGAAAAGCTTCAACTGAAAACACCAGAAAACAATCACATTTGACACTAGACACGCCAAGAATGCAAAGGGAAAAACGTCAACATATGGTCGTACTTAAAGCGGTCATATTTTTCATATTAATAGAAAAAACCTTTACCCCAAAGTATCCCATCTCTATACAACATGTGGCAATAAGTATAAACAGTATAAACACAAACAGCTAAAACAACTCACAACTATGCAAATATCCTGTAGAGAGCTATTCGCAGGTTGTTAGTTTTGGACGAGAGAGATTGCGTTGCCCAAGAATAGTGAAGGAAGTCCAAGAAGGCACATAGCTGGGTTTAAGGTCGCCCTTCACATTCACGGGCCTGTCACATTGTAGCTGGCATCGACCTAGTGCCAAGAGAAAACAACGTCTTAAAAAATCTACTTAACACTCACAAACCACACAAGAGTTGTATTCAGGCTACCCACGGCCGCACACCAGGAGGAAATGATGACATTCTGCAGAGCTGTCAGTCTATACATCAAGTCTACGGCAGCCTGTTGGAAAAGAATTACACTACAAGCTATTTATTATACATGTTAGTGAGAGGAAATGTAAAACGGCCTGGTACTCTGTGGTCAGCCTGGCTCAGAGCTGAGAGCCGGCTGGGAGATGTGACCCTAAAATACACACTTTATTTTATTATTTACTGTGTTCTAATTTTTGTTGAATTGACTATTTTGTAAAGTTGTATATTGGGGATGTACAAAAATATATTAAAATGATTTTGGGATTTGAAAAAATAATGGAATTTGACAAACTTCTCCTAGGAGGCCCTTCTCCACAACAAGTACGACTCAGCTTTGAGGAAAGGCAGGTCCCTCCCTTAGTAAAGACTTTGAATACTTTCAGAGCAATCAAATAATCCAAATTAATAAACAACTTCTATTTAAGTCTATTTTTGGCCAAAGAAACTTAAATCGATGCCGGCTACATGAACGGCATTCAAGTTTTGATTGTAAGTGGAAATGTGTAACGGAATATGGCTTTGTTAAGAGTTCCGTAGTTGGTCCAATTCTCAAATCCAGCAGGCTTGGCTCTGTGGACATTTGGATCGCTCCACGATGGTTTAGGCCAAACACAGGGACTTCATGTTGGCACAACACTGATCTGAGACACTCTGCGTCTACAAAGAAACAAAAGATCTCACTATTATATTTTTTTCACACTATTGTTCATTGTTTCCATTTACACAGAATACTAATATAAAAAGAGGTTTTGAGGAGAGCAAAATGGCCACCTCCAAGTGCAAAGAAAGGCACATAAAAGCTCACCGCCGCAGGTCTGTTTGGTAAGTATTGGCAATGCAAACTGTTGCTTTGGCAAATGATCTCTTTGCCAAAACAAACACACTTTAACTCATGAATATCATACAAATGCACATACACCTGGCTCTGAGATCAGTTGGCTCTTGGATTAGAATTAGAATATTTCAAGATAGCAGAATGAAATGTCATGAGCAAGAAAAGCATCATTACAACCACAGGAGCCCAAATATTTGTTTCATATTGAGAGCTATTTCATTTATTTCGAGTTACCAAAATGTACTGTACTGTAAAAATATGTAGATATTCAATGTTCCTTTTATTTAAGGGCCAAACCATTTTTGATTCCTTTTAAATTAGTACTAAATTAAGAACTAATGATGAGATGTAACATTTTACTAATCACAATTCCTCACTCATGCATTTCCATGTGACTAATAATTTCTAAGATTATTCAGAAGACCTGTTACCCCAGCTAATTCTTGCTCTGTCTTCAAACATACTTATAACCTCTCTTTCGTATTTAACCAGCATCAAAATAGTCGAGTGAGAGCGACATGCACTCATTCTGCAATCAATAGCAGAAAGCCGTTTTACATTCCCTTCACAGAGCAAATAGAGAGGTCAACAGTGTGGAGTTAATAAGTCTAGCTCCAAGTGTTTGAGTTGTACGTGTGCAGTGTGCACAGGGCTGACCCTCCAGTCGAACGGCACACCTCACGCTCCTATAGCAAAAGACTAAACCGTGCACGTTTCTCTCTATTTACTCAGGTCATACCAGAGGCGAGCCAGTCATTTTTACTGAGGAATTCTCATTGGGGAGTTGTTCTCTTCTGCTTTTGTCTATGTGTTTGCACGGAGTGGTTCTTCTGGAGTGGGAGCTCTGTCTGTCCACACCCTACCTCTGGTCGGGATTTGGGCCAGCGCCACAGCTAATGAAAGGGGGGGGGGGACTTGTTGGGGTGTGTCCCTTTCACCTGTTGGGTCATGCTGTCAGATGCACCTATGGGCTGTGTGGTGCAGGTAGGATCAATGAAAACAGAGCAGATCCGAGTCTGCTACTTTTACTCACGTTTACAAGCGGACCACCTGTTTTTGCTCGACAGTGACTACGCAGAAAGTTAAAAAGTTGATTGGGTGGAAGCTCTACATACCTGAATTATAGAACAGTTATTTCTATTGGATTGTACATTACTGTATCCAAGTATTTTATCTATGTAACCAGGGACTGCAGATGGAAACTAGCTGTTTAGCTATAATCTGGTGCAGAACATATCTGTCTTCGAGCTTAATGTCTCTGTACATTGTCCCTTCAAATAAAAACTAAACTAAACAGATACAAAGAACATTTATAAAATCTCAAATAGTTCAAAAATATTTCATCAATTATTTATTAATTGTTTAAACACACACACACACACAAACACACACAGGTCCAATTCAACAAAAACGTCACATGAAATACAGTGCAGTTCATACACAATCTCTGCAAGTCAGAACAAAAACCATTTTTATCATTTTGTAATTCTGCAACTAACGTCTCAACTTGCAACTTAGTATTCACTATACACAAAAGAAAACAGAACTGCTACAATATCAATAAGGACCATAAAAATACAATTTCTGTTTACATTGCTGCACTATCCATTCATTTCCATGTCTTACTGTTTCATTTCATTATTAGTTGATGATTCTTTATCCTGTAATCCTGGGAAAAAACTGGACCAACATGTTCTCTACTGTAAGAATAACGTAAAATATTGAACATAGAAAGCCACAGTGCATCAAAAGATCAGCTGATTGACCGTCCTTCAGCTCATTGTTCTTTGTAAAAGCTTCAAAGGCAAAAACATGCTTCAGGACACAATCATCACGGCCGGCATATCATCAAGCTTGTTCACTCGTATGGCTTTTTTGTATCTTTTTTTATTTATTTTTTACACTTTGTGCCTTTGATTAAATATTTGTTACTTCTTTAGACTTCAGAGCAAAGCAATCTTGTTGGGACTTGTAATTCAGCTGAAAAAGTCATTTGAATAATAATCACAACCTCTCTTGAACTAGACCAGTTTTACTCATCGCATGAAGGCTACACCAAAGCAAAAAAGATTGAAAATAATATTAAAAAGAGCTATTGTCTGATGAACTACTAGAGCAAGATACAACTTCTCCAGCACAGACATGACAAAAGGCAGAGGACCAAGACAGGGGAGTCCTTCGTAAAAAAAAAAAAACGTGATAGTGCACTTTAAACGATTATTTTATTCTTTTGGGTCCTGAAAGCTGGGGAACATAGGGGAATACGCTCTAAACAGTTCGAGTTGACCCCAGTTAAGTGAGTGTATGTGGCTAAAGGCCCTAAGGGAGTGACTAGCATGAGGAAGACACGCTGTGAGTCCTGTGATAGCCGTATGAGTAATCCCTCCCTCCTCTCTGCCTGGACATGTGCTTCGTGGCCCTTAGTCATCGTCCACACTTTCCCCTCCTTGCCTCTGCCTCTCCCCATGTCTCCTGCTTCTCTCTGGTTAAGAACATCCCTCCTCAGCGCGGGCCGTCCCACCGGGAAAGACAGACTAACCCTTGCTTGGATGACTCATTCACCAACATTGAGAGTCCACACCAGCCCTGTTCCGCTCCGCTCATGACAGCCCACTTCACCACACCCAGGCACGGAGCGTGGTCGTCCAGTCAATCCTGCCACACATTTCCACATTTCTCAGCCTGTCTTCTCTTCTGCGCCTTGAAAAAACTAAAAAAAAAATAACTTTTCACCTTGTTGCTTGGTTGTGCTTTGATCTAGTTTATGTGTGTCCCTACATTTATTATTCTTTTTGGTCTACACCTTTTTAAATTCAAGTTTGGTTTCGAGTTCAAGTTAAAGCACACGAATCTTTCACCTAAGGGAGAAAGTATTTTTTAAAGTTCTAAATGTTGTGAGCAAATTGAGAGATCCTTTCTTCGTCCCACAGTGGGGAAATTTCAGTGTTGCATCACAAGTTATAGAGCAGTAGGAAAGAGGAGCACACGGTACAAGTTAAGTGAACAATGGCTGTACTAATTAAAATAAAAAAATCAGACTGAATCATGCTGTTTTCATATATTAACATATTTTTCATACTTCCCTGTAAGCTACTATTTGATGCTTTTTTCTGTCTGAAAATTCTGATCTAAAGTTGTGGCAGAAGCTAAACAACACCTGCATATGCAAAGTACAACCACACTGTTTTAGAGCCAAGAACTATAGTTAAATGGATTTTATTACAGAGTTCTAACGTGTCTGGTTTCAAAGTTAGGTGTCCAAACTTTAAGTGAAAAGATTAGACAAAACGATGGACTGAAATGATGCTTCAAATAACTCTCAAACACAGCCCTCTCTTTCCGTCACTTTCCTAAATGTCTAAATCTCCAGAAGTCTCTGCTCGCATCTGCTGTCATGTCAAAGCATCTCATTGTTTGTGTCCTAATGCCTCCATCTGCCAGCCGCCATTGCCACAGCCCGTACTGTATATTCTAGTGCTCAGAGAGTTTGTCTGGGTCTACCCCGGCTGTCACTCTACCTGCCTGTCTGCAGCTCTGCCCGTTATCTCCTGGTGTGGAATAATGTGCAACCAAAACACCAAAGGACACACCAGCTCCGCTCCCTGGTGCGCACGTCAAACGCTGGGGAACGGACAGTTACGATGAAACATGTTGCTGAATCTTAAAACAAAATGATACATGACACATCTCAAAATGTTTTGACACGGGCAAAGAAGTGTTATTCCACATAGAGTAAATGTATATAATTTCCAATCCATGAACCTATAGCAAGGCAAGGCAAGTTTATTTGTATAGCACAATTCATACACAAGGCAACTCAAAGTGCTGAACAAAACAAGAAAGCATTAAAATCATAAATAATCACAGTACATTAAAAAGAAAGATAAAAATATAAAATCCCTCAGTTGTATGCACAGCTAAACAGAACTGTCTTTAACCTGGCTTTAAACATTGTCAGAGAGGAGGCCTGTCTCACGTCTTCAGGAAGACTGTTCCAGATTTTAGCAGCATGAATCTGAAAAGCAGCCTCCCCATGTTTAGTTCTGACTCTGGGCACTAACAGGAGTCCAGTCCCTGTGCTCCTCAGAGTCCGGGCTGGTTCATATGGTACTAACATGTCACTAATATATTTTGGTGCGAGGCCATGGAGAGACTTGTATACAAGCAGAGCTGTTTTAAAGTCTATTCTCTGAGCCACAGGAAGCCAGTGCAGAGACCTGAGAACTGGACTAATGTGATACAAATACTATATACATCCAAAGCATCCAAAAAAGACAGAACAAACACTTTAAAATATTACATTGTCAAATTGCTTTCATAAAATGTTAAGTAAACCTATGATACAATTATCATGTCAGTCCCTTTAAGTATTTCTCTTCTTGGATAGATCTGTTGACCATTGCAAGAGCAATAAGGATTTTTAGGGGCATTATGACTGGGTTAATGAAACACAGCTGCCCCTAAAAGTCCCTCACTTTTCTTGCTGCCTTTTCGTTCTCTCCCTCCCTTTTCAAACTTTGTTTCATTCCAAACATTTGAGATCAAACTACGTTTTCTGGCTGCTCCAGTGCGACTGGTATCTGTTCAGTGAAACGCACTTGGAATGACCACAACATGTAGGTTCAAACTCTGCGGAGAAACCTGGTTCTCATATTAAAGCGGCGCTGGAGTGCGTCCCAGTACTTATGAATTGTATGTTTGAAATAGCAGAGGTTTATTGGGGGCTGCAGTGACGTTTCCACAAGGGGTGAATGGGTTCAGCATTACAATACCGAATCTGAGCAGCAGCACAACAAACTTTCACCACTAACACAACATTTCTACAGCCTCTTTACGCTGTGTTTTATTTGAGCAGTTAACAAGTTATTTTTAGGATTACAATTTTAGGGGTCCTGGCAGAGCTCCAACACTCAATGTAGCCTGGGGTAAAATATGTTGAATGAAGAGATAATTATTGTATTAAAGACATCACTGAGCATCTACAGTGTGTGGAAAATAAGAAACAATTAAAATAAATGTGACAATGTACCCATTTACCAAGTTATTTATACAATATTACTTTAAAAGGTAAAGTCCATGGAGGCACATAATAGACAAGACCTAAGTATTTCATTTGTCTCTGTTTTATAAAAGGAATACATTGGTTATAAGCTTCATGTTGTGTTGGGTACTGTCAGCATGGAGCCATACAGCCTTAATAAGGGCCTTCGCTGCTATGGTATGATTTTTTCTTTTTACAGGGACAGTGTACAATAAACATTAGCTGAAAGGAGAGGTGAATTGCTCCAGGTTATAGCAGGAGTACTACTTTACACCTGTACATCATGTAGTAATAGAGAGAGAGAATTTATCATTTGACAGTGTGTCTCTGTGCACAAGTCTGTGGAAAATAGACAGAATTTTGATTTCTGTACTTTACTAAGGATTTAGATTGGTCTTGTTTAATAAAGTTATAGATACGTCTTTTGATTCATAGTTCATGGTGAATCTGGGTCAAAACGAATCAATTCATAACAAGCCTGGGTATAAAAATTGTGAATTTTTTTTCTATTATTACACTGTATCCCTTAATATTATCAGCTTTAAGATAAAACATAAAGCAGATCTGCAGTAAATAAAACAACGCAACATAGATTTTCAGTGGATCGGTCACATAAAGTCTAGTTTTTATTATTATTACTGTATGTGCAAATCTGAATGTCTCATGCTCCAGTGAAGGTCTTACCTATATGAGACTTGCAGCACAGAGATGTCACTGCTCTATTAATTACATAAAGCATCTTGTGTCAGGATGCTAAATTCATTAGTGAGGTATGTTGGGTATGCTAGGGTCAGTACAGATATAGAAACGCTTCTCCAAAACAACTCCTTCACCACTTAACACGCTCGTCCCAAATAATTCTGCTATTGGTTAAATATTAGTGTAAGGCTTCACGCCGTAAACACATTCAAAAGTTGTCTAATGTAGCAGGAGTTACTTTAAATAGACCTATTGTGTTTGCTGTGGCCTATTTTTTGTCTTCTCAAAAATAAAAAGAACAGGGAATAAATTGATTTATTTCAATAGTCATTTATCTCAGAGCTACAACAGAATGGGGCCAGCTGACAAATGTGCTATGATTTGTTTAGATTTTTTTTTTTTTTTTAAGATAATTCCTTTATTCGTCCCACAGTGGGGACGAATTTTAAAGGAACAAACAGTCATGTCATTACATACACTTCAGATCTAATCTGTTTTATGTACACGTCATACAGCCTTCATTAATATCAAGCTATACATAAACACCTATAGTATTAAAAATCATTATCAAGATACTCTTATTTAGACTATTTAGGGCTACACCTTTTCAATTGATGGATGTATTTTGTATATAGTGACGCCTTTATATAGCTGCCTTTCACATATCCATGCAGCCCAGGAATATGAACTGAGGGGTCACGTGTGCCAGAAACTGGGACTTTGTAGGCCAGTTGAATAAATGAAGTCACCTTGCCCGCAAAGACCCAGTCTCGGACACACACCTTCACATTCTCCTGAGACAAACACAAACTCCACAGTGTTATAACATGCATTGACAGATGATTCATACATACCCCCGGAGAGACTGTGGCCAAACCTGACAGCAGCATCCTGACTGATAGAACAGGACATCTGTCTGGAGCTGGTCAGGAAGTTCAACTTCTGTAGATCATCCATGATCACAATGGTCACATCGCTGCTGCGTCGCACGGTCACTTGATGTTGCAAACATCTCTAAATGAGCAAGATTATCCTTCATCTGTGAACATAGGCGACGCAAAGGTCTTTTGAAGTAAGTGTCCCATAGTCCTTATATGTACAGGGAGGAAAAACCACGCAGACGCAACAGTGTCTGGACTCCTCCAGTCTGCCCCCTCCCTTTGCCCCCCAGAGATCCCAGTGCGCTCCCGGTACCAGCCACTTCCCAGTATCCTTCAAGAGAGACAGGCGCAGGAGCTGCCGTCCTACAGCAGTAGGAGTAGGATTGAGTAGGATATTCCCAAACAGCTGGAAGGAGCTGATATATGGTGCTGCGCCCTCGTGCTGGGCCCTCCCCAACATGGACCGGTAACCTGGTTATTTTCAGCGTGTCTCTGGCGCGTCTCCAATTCCTCCGGACAGGCCCACCACCGATTTGAGTAAAGATAACTTAATATCGATTAAAGGTGGTCTCGGAGCCTCTGTAAGTAAAGTGCACACATTCCTATGGTGTTGGCTCAGCGGTCGGAATGAGATGTCCACAAACACTCTTTAGCCAAACTGAGCACGTCCTCCGCGGCTGTGCTGTCTGTCTGCCGCTCTCTCAAGGTGTTCCCCTCTTTTATCGATACAGCTCCGGGAGGCTGTGAAGCCAGGTTTATCACACACCTCTTTCAGCCCCACATGCTGGTGCGCTGCGGCCCCTGGCGGCAGGGATGCGCCACGACGCCTCATAGTAAGGGCTTGTTTTAACACTTTGTGGGGTCACGCTCTAGTTCTGCGGTGACACACTGACACGTGCCTGTCAGCTGCCTTCTAGTGAGGACAACAACATTTCATGCCAATTCATTACACACAACATTAACAGTCTCGAAACAGATTACTGTGGATATCCTAAATGACAAGTCCATTCTTGGAACTTGGATCTTGAAAGCGCGTTACCTTTCATCTACTTTATGCTGAAAGGTTTTCCCGGAAAGGTTGTGTCAATCCAGTCTATGATCCAGACTCCAAGACACACTCTACAGTATCAGTTAGTGTCTGTCAGAGACTGTGCCATCCTCTGTTGACATGCTTCTGACTCCACTGTAACTTGCCTCATGCTGGTCACTCACGCCCGTCCAATAGAAACTCATGCGCACGGGTAAGTTCAAATGATCTTATGAGTTATTGCTTTAGTCCTGCGGGCCGTGGCTTCCATTATTCTTTCAGATTAGACTCAGGCCTGCCTGAAGTAAAGTACCCTGGTTAAACCACTAGACTGTAGACAGTAGATATTGTCAGTAAGAAACCATGGTCTCGCCTAATCATGGAAGAACATAAAACATGTTATTTGTAAGCAGTGGGTGCCGCCTGCTCTCCTAATGGTGTCTCCGACCATAAAGGCGGTGGTAGATGCTCTCTGGGCGGTGTGGAGTATCGGCGCCTCCATCTATGACTACATCAACACGGGGGATATGGAGGAGCGTGTGCATGCACTGGAGCGCCTCATCGTGCTGCATGAGTGCGCCATCGGCCTGCTGTCTGCAGGGGTCTGCGTGCTCTTCACTTACGTGCTCTTCAGGAACATCTGACAGGCCACCACAGACTCTTGTATTATGGACAGGTGCATAGGTAATGCACAGGCATTACACATCATACAGTATCCATTAACCCAGTGACCTTTGGTTCTCTACTCTTTGTTAATGTTACTAATAGTTTTCTTGGAAGATCCCAATGCTCTTGCATGACTTCAGATACTGTGAACAGTAAAACAAACCTACATCATGGGTGACAAGATTTACATTACAATTGATTATTTTTTTGACCTTTCATTCCATTCAAGACGTTGGAACCAGCTTCATTTGTGGACATATGAAACCATCACACTTGTGTACTGTACAAGTGGTCCAGTCAGTAATTTCACTTTGGATACAGTTCAGTGACGTGATGAGGACTGTTGCATTTGCTTCTGAAGTGATTAGAGTTAATAAATGTGAAATTTATACATTTGTAACTGATGAAGAAAGTTGTGCATTAACATTTGTAATCAAGTTCATTAAAAGCAAAAACACTTGTCAATTAATTTATTGTTTCCCCAAATGCAAAACAAAATATTAAAACTTTTGGAAATGCTGCAAGTAAAACCAGCAGCTAAAGTGTTGTCATGAACCTAAACAAGAGGTTTTCCTTGTTCAAACTGGAGAGTACAACAAAGACAGTGAATGTGATTTCACAAGTGTCCAGTCTGTAGAAGTGTGTACTTTGAGGTGAATCGCTCCACACTCTCTCCCTCCAGAAACTTCATGGCTCTCCAGTGGATCTTCCCACAGTTCTCTGGCTGCCCCAGTGGTCCCTGCTCCTCCAGAATGTACTGTAGCCAGAGACCTTCCACACAAACAAAACTATTTCAGTGTTGAGTCACAAAGAGCACACTGAACAGTCGACATCAGGGCTTAGAGAACTCCACTTACAGACAATGGTATTACGACTGCTTACCTTCATCTGAGGTGCCAAACTCCTGCAGAGCTCTCTCATAATAGTCTCGTAAATAGTTTATTTTTGGAATTTCCTTGAAAGATTAATTCATGTTAGCGACATTTATGTAATGAAGGCCTTTAATCTGGGGTGCAAACTTACCTGCTCTTTTTCTATTTCAATCATCCTGGTGAAGAAAGTTTTGGACAAGGGCCGAATTTCATGTAAACTAGAAGAAAAAAAAAAACATCACTAAAAACTTCAGATGAAATTTGAAATAGAATATGTTGAATGAGACATTCACCTGGTAAAAGTTTGCCTTGCTTTCTTATAGCCCCCTGTGGAGTAGGACCAATCAAGGAAGCAGTCTTTCATTTCCATGGCTACAGCTGGTACAGTAGACAGAAGACCACGCTGAACATACAAACATTATTATGGAGGTTAGACTAAAAAAGTTGAAATCAGCGTAAAATACAACAGTATGTAGGCAACAAACTTTTGTTCACTGGGTAAAAAATGTAAAAAACAGATTACACTTTTATACTGTAAATATTTATTATACCTTAAAGACAGCTTCCGTTTGTTCAGTGCTCTGCCTGTCCATGCTCCACTGAAGCTCCAGTTGCCACAGAGGCAGACTCTCCTGTAAACATAACACGTAATGGACAAATGAACAAACGTGAAATTAGTAGTTTGCAATTATTTTGTTTAATGTTAGTTTCAGGATCTAATTATTATTAACAAAAAGGATAATGTTTCACTTGCAAAGTTCCACAGAATGTCATAATCTACATTGTAGTCTATTTTAAGCAAGCGGACACAGACAATCTATAGCCACCCTTGCGCTGGTAAAACAAAAATAAATGGGTCGTCTGAAAGGAAATTAGTTTAATTTGAAAAGATAATCTTATCCATTCTTTTCCTGAACATCTTTTTTCTTAGGTCTATCTAAATTGGAGAAAAGCCAGTGACTTCAAGGCAAAGTCATATCTAAGGTGAGGCAAGCCACCAGTAAAAACATCTGTGATTAAACAATGTAAATAGTTTGTAATTTGTTATTTAGACCCCTGCCCTGCAGCTGAAATAAAAACATGGCATTTTAGCACAACTTAGTGGCAACTCTGTAAGCTGTGGTTTTAAAATCAGTAAGCTGATTTTTATTGATAACCTAAATAAAAGGTTACCAATATTAGGTTATCCTTATTGATTTTTAGCCTTTAACATCCACATAATGATCACAATAAATATGTAATGCTATCCTTTAAACATTACGATTCAAACTCATACTAGTTCTTGTCCTAGAACAAAGAAAATTGCAGTGGGAAATTCAATGTCGTCTAATTGGGTCAAAAGGCTGGCCCACTTCTGCACTGCTCCCTGGGGACCACGGCGACTGTCAGAGTGTGCTCTATTGTACCGAAGTTAGAACAAAAAAAAGTAGAATAAATGCACACCTTAGGATTCACGTTTGTGAGTGCTTCTTGGAAAAGCTTTCCCACATTCTCGCTCTCAAGATGCATCAGGGTCTGAAGACTCAAGCTCCACATGGAAACAGACTGGCCGTATCTTTGCGTTGCTGCCATGGCAACACTGGTCGCTCCCTCCGCGTCTCCTTTCGAAAGTAGTATCTGCAGCTGTTAGGACCAGAATGGTTCACATCTGTCAAAACATTTTCAATAAAAGTTTTTCAAAGTGTTATGACTCACCCAGTTTTTGTAGAACTGTTCTTGTAACAATTGATAGCTATGGGCACGCTGCAGTACGTCCACCAACCTCTCTTGTCTCTGAATCACAAAAATGACACGAATAAAGAACAATTTCTCAGTTAAGAGACAAAATCAAGTGCAATTTCAGGACTTCTTCATGCTCTTTGAGTCCGTTTACAAAGCACTACCAGGTATCTCGCCTCATCCCAATATTATTATATTGAGAAAGACCCCTGAAAACAATATGCCATGACAAATTTGACATAACTGGATAGAACCATTTCTGATAGCATGAAGCCATGTGATGCTACTGAGACAAGGCCAGCAGAAGCATTTAAGAGCACTGGAAACAGCCATCTATGTAACAAGGACACAAAAAGGCTATCACTCAGTTTAATCCGCTTCATTGTTGTTTGTTTTTTTAACAAGAGGCAAATACAGAAAAAAAATCAATCTTTATATAGCACACACAAAGCGCTTTACACGCTTTACAAGTTTAGAAATATGATGCTTTATTTGTGCTGCGGAAAGAAAATGACTTTGGATGCTGCAGTAGAGCTGGTATGGAAAATCTAATGGTCAAAAAATAATTAAGTTGTATTTACAATTCTGAGACGCCTTTGAAAGCATCTCATGGCTCCTTCAAGGGTAATATGTAGCCAGAACAGTTAAGAAACAGCACAATCGTTTTTTTGCATACCTTTAGCTTGTTGCCTTTTAATAATCAATACTAACCTTTTCTTTCAGTTCTTGGACATTGGTTTTCCTTTTGTGTCTTTCCAAGCAGAATGACGCAAAGCACGTCCACATAGGTTCTACAATTCATAAAGATTTGAGAGTCAACATGAATTTGTAAATAGTACTTCCAATGATTTCTACCCGTGTTCAGGCTCTTCACTGCTTCCTCGTAGACTTGGCAGCAGCGCACTTCTCTCCTGTTAATGTCTGAGGCACGTCCTTTCGCCGTCTGAAGTTCCTCCCCGGCCCCAGGAGCTTCCAATTCTCGCTTTGCCATGAAATCCCAAGTCACGCTGTCCTCCGTGTAATTAGTCTGTAAACTGGAACATTAAGGGAGACACAAGTTTTTATTGAGCTTTATTTAACCAACTATAGTCCCACTGGGATTTCAGAATCTCTTTTGCAGGAGAGTCCTGGCACCAGAAAGAGACGTATTGTATGTTTTTAGTGGTGGGAGAAACTGTGCTGCTGGAGGAAACCAGAGCAGACACGAGGAGAACATGCAAATATAACTCAGAAAGGCCCTGTCTGGAGGTTAAAATCAAACTCAGGACCTTCTTGCTGAGAAGCGAGAGTGCTAACCACTGCCACTGCGTCTTTTTGAAATGTCAAAATCACCAGCAGAACTTACTCTTGTAAAATGGAGTCCTGTAGTTCTCTGGTAAAGTCAAAAATGGCTGCAATTTTTAGAAGTGAGATGACAAACTCTGCTTCTGTAAAAGACAAGAGCGTAAAGGAATAACACCTTTTTAAATGTAAACAAAATACAATACAACATACCTTTAATTTTTCCAGTAGCATCTTTGTATACCACTGCAGCCAATTTCCCACTCAGGATTTCAGATGAAAACTCGTATTCACCCTAAGAATGCGAATTAAGGTTGCATTAAAGTCACATTCTGTCATTACACTGCGAATTGTAATTAAACACACCAAGTCCATCTGTGCCTTTTCCAGTTCCTCCTTCTGCTTCTTCAGCTTCTCACAGTGCAGCAACTCCATTCGGAAGTACTACATAGAGATGGATTAAGTTACAATAACGCTAATAGACATTTATAAGACTAATATGCAACATCTAATACCTCTTGGTACACCTTTGTGCTATCTGGGTGAAAGCGCAATGCTCTGAGGAAAAGATGTCTGGCACTTTCAGAAGAATCACGATCCTCCAGCTCACTTTTGGCAGCCATGATCCACAATGCTATGTTGGCCAAAAAAAATATGTTTTAACTAAGCAGGAAGAAATAACATTTTATTTGTTTTGTTTTGGTTTTGTTTGTACCTGGTTTGTCAGGATGTATGGCAAGCATGGCTGAGAAGACCTTGCTGGTTTGAGGCTTGGTTCCCTATGAAATAGCATACCTTAATCCAAGTTTGTTCTTGCTGATATGTGAAAATTTGCAATCTGAACATTTTAACATACCCATTTCTTACAGAAAGCTACATGTGAAAGCCATAGCTGCACATCATTCTGTAACCATAAAAATAGAAATGATTAAATCATTGTATGAGTTGGATATTGTTGTTTTTCATTACCTTCCACTTATTAGTTGCTCTCTTGAAAATACTGTTTATTCTGGCGATGATTGGAAATTCTATTTCTTCTCTTTTATAATTGTAGCGAATGTGCTAGAAATAATATTTCACAAACCAAAATCATTAGCAATTGTTATTAAAAATCAAACTAATATATTTGAGGGGGTGTTGAAAACTTACAGCTCTTCTTTTCTTGATGAGCTCCAAAACGTTAATTTCATACTAAGGGAATATAATGTAAAATTATTCTCGCATAAGGTTAAAAATTATATTTATAATAATAAAAGGTGCAGTCATTTACCTGAATGTAAGCGATGAAGTCCTCCTTGTTTAACATCAAACGATGGAGCTTATATTCCAAGGCTGTTGCTCTTTTAATTATTGATCTAGAACATTACATGATGATAATAATAAATCACTATTAATTGATGGTCAATAAGTCACGTGAAGGGCGTTCATGATTAAACTTCATTTAGATAAGTCTCCTCTCTACATTAGAGGTTTTTAGGTTTTTATGGCGTTTCACTCACTTGACTTCTTTCTTAGTGAACAGCCCCACTCTCTCCAGCTGCTCCAACTCCGGGATGCGCTCCTCTATGCGCTGCTGCACCACCTCCGCCATCTCTGCTGCGAAGTCGGCGTTTTATGACTGCAAGACGCTAGATCTAATAATGTTGTTTCGCAGAACGTTTTCTGATCCAGAACTTTAAAATGTGCTCTTCCTCTCTGCCTTACACATGGCTGGAGGAAGTTATGATGGGGCGCATTTCCTGTGCACCAGGCAAATTGTTCCGTCTGTAGAAGAAGTACTAAATGGTTATATTGTAATTTAGACTACTTCTAGTATAATATGTACTCTTGGATTTCTAAGTTTAAGAAGACAAAACAATAAAATTTCGCCTTTCAAAAATAATTATGAAGATTTAAAAAAATCCTAACTGTTTTGACAGGATCAAGACAGCTTCTGCACATTCTCTTAAACAATATTTACGCCTTGGTTGTACATTTGTATAAACGTGGATTTTCCCCGCTGTTGTTTTTACAAAGGTAACAAAGTGTGGGTCAGTTTTCTTGTTACCAGCGCTGATCATCTAAATTTCCCGCAAAATCGCAGAAAGCGAGAGCGGGCTGGATGTCACCTCCGGAGGCGAGCAGCCAATCCCGGGTCTGCATTCCTTCAGCCGGCCTCCCATTGGGTGACGACTGACTAATGCTCTGTTGTTCAGTACAAACTGAAGGAGAGGCATACCGACATTAATCTACAGACACACTGTTCTTCATATAGTCCGAATAGGTACTTGATCCGAGTACAACAACCTGCGTGTTACCTTTGGATGCGTAAATCCCTGGGCGTGTGGGCTGCTGTAGCATGATGCTAGCGCTGTCTGCTAACTGTTAGCTGCGTCTCGTCTGCGGATCATCTTCATGGGCCACTGTTGATCCTTCAGGCGTGTGGCAGCGAGGCTACAACATTTATGCCATCAGCCAGGGTGCGTTCTGCTGTCATGTCAGCATGTTCATTAGTTATGTGATCTTAACAAGATAATGGACATATCTAGCGACTGGCTACGTTAGCTTTATGGGGATTCATTTTAGCGACAGCTAACATTGCCTATGTCCACTATAGCTTTGCTTAGCTCAACATTTTTACTGTACTATTGACGCCTCATATCCTCTGCAGAACTCAGGAAGTATTATGAGCGGGGTGAGCTGCAAAGCAAACGGAGCTGTGTACCCCTCCTCATCAGCAGCGATGAACTCTGTGAAGAAGCCCAAGATGGAGCAGATTCAGGCCGACCATGAGCTCTTCCTACAGGCCTTTGAAAGTGAGAGTCCTGCCAAATTAACCTTACTTTGCTTTAAAAGATATTTCCATTTCCCAATATGTATTTGGAGCAATATGTGTTGCTCCCTGGAACAGAATCAATGCAAAACAATATATTGTATTTCTTATATACTGATCTGCTCAGACCTTTAACAAGTATTGTAATCACACTTGTTGTAATCTGCCAAAACTGCAATTCAAATTATAATCTAGAAGAATAACTAATTATAGTGTGTCATTGATTGTTAGTATATATTATTATATTTTATAATTTAATCTTAATACATTTGGTTTCAGAACCTACTCAAATATACAGATTTCTTCGCACAAGGAACATAATTGCAGTAAGTCAATTAACAACATTTATATTTCTCACATAGTTGCACTGTTTTCTTATAGTGAATGTTTCTTGTTTACAGCCTATATTCTTGCACAGAACTTTAACTTTCATGTCTCATAGAAATACTCGAATAAACAAAAAAAGGTATGAATATAACAAACACATTTTTAAAGGAATGTGTCTGCTTGTATGGCTTAATAATTCACCTGACCTTTTTCAATAGAAAATCATTCAAAGTGGATGATTTGATGAAGAAGGTGGAAAAGATGAAGGGACACCCTGACTCACCCAAGTAAAAAGGCTACACATTATAATCGTATTAATATCGTGACCACAGTGACAATAATTACAGATGTATTTGTCTTTCAGCATGTCTTCACATTTACAGCTAACATTCACTGGATTCTTCCATAAGGACGGTAGGTTTGTCTTACATTTGAAATTACAAATGACGACTCATATGTGATGTTATGTTGTTGTATGTGGATACAGAAAAGCCATCACAACATTCAGAAAATGACCAGAGTTCAGTTTCTTTAGAGGTGCTTCTTGTAAAAGTCTGCCATAAAAAAAGAAAGGTGAGGTTGCTTTTACCACTATCACTAGTTTTCTGTTTAAGAATTGGGTGATGATGTTTTTGTGTTCTCAGGATGTCAGTTGTCCAGTTAAGCAAGTGCCTACAGGTAAAAAGCAGGTGCCTTTGAACCCTGATGGTAACCAAAACAAGTCTGGATCCTATCCTTCCTTAGTTGTCTCTAGCAATGAGTTTGAGCCCAGCAACAGCCACATGGTGAAGTCGTATTCGCTCCTGTTTAAAGTGTCGCGTACAGGAAAAAAGAATAGCAGTAATCTGGTCAATGGTCAGGCCAATGAGAATGTTGGTAAGTAACTCTCCGGAACAAAAAATGGTTTCGAAGCAAAATTAAATAAAGTATATATGATATAACTTTTGTTTTTGAACAGATGTTACTGATATACCAAGTAGAAAGAAGCGAAGTTCTTCACATAGAGAAGAATGTGATATGTGTGAGACGTTTATTGCACAAATGACTGTTTTTGATAAAAACAGGTGAGTGAGTCTGGACTTGTTGCTACATTTTGCTGGACAGCTTTTTTTATTCATGTACATGGTTTTGAAGACGATTGCAGCTGCTGGATGGAGAATATGAAGTGTCAATGCAAGGAATGGAAGACAGCCCTGTAAGTAAGAAGCGTGCTACATGGGAGACCATTCTGGACGGAAAGGTACGTTGATTTGTTGTTGTTTTTGTTTTTTGTAAAGCCACAAATCATTAACACAGGTTTCCTTATCCAGAGGCTTCCACCTTTTGAGACCTTTTCTCAGGGACCCACTTTACAGTTTACACTGCGATGGACCGGTGATGCCAATGGAAAACCTGTTGGTTCTGTGGCCAGACCCCTCTCTACCCGCAACTCAGACACTTTCACTCCCATGGAAACCAGGAACAGCAACCACAGAGCACTTATGAGTTCGTACTTTTGTACTTGTATTTTGTATGTTGTATAGTAAGAGGATTTCAATGTTGTATTTCCTACCCTACAGTGAAGGAGTCTGTCAATGCAGATCTTCATTCAAAAAAAGATCATTCCCAGTTGGAACCACGGCAGAAACTGAGAATATTTTATCAGGTAATTTGTAGAGCGTTTCTTGAGGAGGAAAAATGTATTGATTTCTAACTGAACTATTTCCATCCCAGTTTTTATATAACAACAACACAAGGCAGCAGACGGAGGCCAGAGATGACCTTCACTGTCCTTGGTGTACGTTGAACTGCAGAAAGCTCTACAGCCTACTTAAACACCTCAAACTCTCGCACTCACGCTTCATCTTCAACTATGTGGTGAGTAAATTTATCTGCATAAAGCATGTTGACACAATAACCTTTATTTTCAGTTACAAATCACATATTTGCAAGATTATACATTAAACTTTTGCTTTCAATAGTTAAAATTGCAATAGTTTTGTGTGAACATGCCGTATTTATATTGTCTAAATTCTATATTTTTCTATAAAATTATATAAGTACAATCTTTTGGTCAATACCCAAGGCCCATTATCATAGGTGAGGGTGGGAACATAGTTTATGTTGGTGAGAAGCAGTATGAAACATGTTCTTGATGGTGACCCATAACCGGTGCTGTTCTGCTCTCAACTGTGTCTTGAATTTTAACAGTTCAATATTTGTATTTTGGTAAAGAACGGTGCTTTTGGTTTTTTTTTTTTTTTTAAATCTTTGTTTGCTCCAGAAGCAAATTCAACTGTCCTCATTATACCTCACTGATGTTTAGGTATAAGGCAGGGGTGCCCACACTTTATCAAACCAATTCTGCTTTTACAGCAACCATTGATCTTGGGTTTATGTGGGAGTGTTGCTATTCAGAATATCTCATTTAGTTTGACTCGTGATACAGGATCAAGTAATGACCATATCGTCTTTATTCACATTTGGAAAAAAAAAAATTATACAGTTAAATTATCAGTTGAAAAATGTATCTATGAAAGTATGCATACAACTGTCTTGTGTAGTGTTTCTCTTTTTGTAACTTATAACGGCTTACTGCTGATATTATGAATCAGAAACGCTCACACCTCATTTACTACGGTTTGCACATGCTTGCAAGCGCTTTTTCTTTTGAGGATGCGCTGTTGCGTTGGGCAACTTTGCTGACGTGATTTGACCGGCATGTCTTGATGCGTGTCAGCCGCGGCTGGTGCGTTGTACGGCTGAGGATGAAAACGGCTCTGCCGCACACGCTCAGTGGGAAAGCGCATATGGCACGTTTCCTGTGTGCGTGTGGAGCACTGTCGTGTGTGAAGACGTACACTTTGAGTGTGAACTCTGTCATGCGAGCCACCTACCATGCATTCGCGATCGACCGGTAGATTGATCACTAGATCAACGTATTGAGCACCCCTGGTACAAGGGGTGCCTTAGACCAGGGTGCTTTGTAGCCTTCACAAACAGAACATTTTAGCTCAAGTTCATTGGTTCAAGTGTGAACGCAGACTGTTCATTAAAACTCTATAGAAACGTTTTTGTTTGTTCACAGCCTCATCCCAAAGGAGCAAGGATAGATGTGTCCATCAATGAATGTTATGACGGCTCATATGTTGGAAACCCTCAGGACATCCACAGCCAGCCAGGTTTTGCTTTTAGCCGTAATGGACCTGTGAAGAGAACAGCAGTCACTCACATACTGGTTTGCAGGTGATTAAAGGGACAGAATGTTGTCTCACATATCATAAAGAAAGGTGAGACACCTATCTTTATGATAGGTGTCTCACCTTTATGACAGGTGAGACACCTTTGACAGGTTTTATTCCCTGTCAAAGGTATTAACTGTTGAAATAAACCACTAATAATTTATTGTTTGTTGTCATTAGTGTAAATTTATTTTTTATGATGTTAAAATAAACCTTTAGACCCAAAAGGACCAAGCCAAGTCTGTCAGAGTTCCTGGAGTCTGAAGATCCAGAGTCGGAGCAGCAGAGGACGTACGTGAGTGGACACAACAGACTGTACTTCCATAGTGACAGCTGTATGCCGCTGCGGCCGCAGGAGATGGAGGAGGACAGTGAGGACGAGCGCGACCCCGACTGGCTCCGAGAGAAAACTGCAACGGTGAGACCATTCACCAGAGTACACGGCTTCGCTGCAGATTTCTTACATGTACAGAATTGTGTATATACTGGGGGTTGAACGACTATAAAAATAAAAGTCGACGTAGTGGACACTGATCAAGTCGACTTTGATTACCGGTCGTTGATGACTTCATACCACTGTTTTATTCCACGCCTTTCCAATTAATGGCCTGTTCCCATTCCACATCAAAACTATTCCACATCATAACCAGTCCACGGTCGTCCACGGGATTCTTATTTCTTCATTTAAATGTATAATAAAGTTCAGGATCTAAATGCAGCAGCCTTCTCAAAGGCGTGCATATACTGTAAAATAGGCAGCTGTAGAGGACAGTAAACGGGGATACACAGATCCATACAAGCCTGTCCCCTGCACAGCGCGCACAAACGCCAGCACCTCCTCTGGCTCATATACAGTGTGGCGAGTGAGTTGCTATTGGACTCACTGTAATGACTTGGAAGACGAGAACAATGTCATGTGAAACACTAAATCCGACTAGTCTATTCTACCCCAAGTATACTGTAGTACTAACAACACAATAAAGATAAGATAAGATGTTCTTTATTAATCTCACACAGGAGAAATTGACATGTCACGTTTGGCATGGATAGAAACATTCAAGAAACAAAATACAAACGGGGTTGAATAAAGCAGAAGCTAGTACAAAACATACACACACACAAGACCCTACAACCCACCATTCGCTCTGTGCTGACGACATCTTTTCTCCATGAACTTCTTTAGTACTTGCATAATATTTATTTTAAGATAATCGTATTTGAACATTTTTGATTAATCTGGTAACTTGTTCCAAAGGGCAACTCCACACACTGAGATACAATGATATTGAAAGTATTCACTATATCTTTCTTCAGCAACTGGATGAGTTCACTGATGTGAATGAGGGAGAGAAGGAGGTGATGAAGCTTTGGAACTTGCATGTTATGAAGAGCGGGTATGTACACTGGTAAATGTGTTCCATCTGTTTGAGTCACAGGTTCAGTAATAGAACCCTCTTTTTTAAGCTTTATCGCTGACAACCAGATGAGTCAGGCCGTAATGCTGTTTGTGGAGAGCTGTGGCACCCACATCGTGAGGCGTAACCTGTGCCGTAATGTCCTCCTTCACCTCGTCAGCATGCATGACTTTAACCTGGTCAACACCTCCACCATCGACCGCGCTATGACTCAGCTGAGAATGAAGAAAGAGGAGCTGAAGGACACTGAGGGGCAGGAGCCACTGCTGGAAGCCTGCAATGGCACAGCGCTCACCTCCTGTGGCAAACAGGGCACGAGAACAAAGAGCTCCCTCACAGACTGACCCGTGCAGGGACTTGGAACCGCTATGACCCCATGGTGCTTTGAATCATGTAAAGGAACTCAAAAAAAATGAGCAATTTTTAAAAACTGAACCAAAAGAATAAGCAACTTAAATTAAAATAGCCACAATACAACACACTTTAGGGCTCAATGAATTTACTCAAGGACTGAGTACATCTTCTACAGAGAGGTCACTGATTTCTCCTCAAAATAAGAAAATGACTAATGGTGTGGTGTGACTGCCTTGGTGTTTGTTATAAACAACTGTATTACAGTTTAAACTGTTCTGGTATCGCTGGTACCCTGTATTTTAACCACACTATATCCTTGTTCAAATGTATCCTTTTATTATTTAGCACTTGGTATTTGTATGTAGAAGATTTAACATAATTTGTGTGCTGTCACAGCACAAACCTGCTGTGTATCTGAAATGCAGCATTTAACCATGAGAAAAATCAATGTTCATTGCATTCTTCTCTGGACATTTGTTACAAAGTATTTAAGGCACTGTTTTGCCCTATAGTTGTAACAACATTATTATATTGTAATTATAAACTCTGGACAATACAACAAATGTGTCCAGGCTAAAATCCACTTCATCATCCAAGCCTTGTGGCACTCATCTTAGCTCAAGGAAACCAGGGAAATAAAACAACCAGCAGATCATTGCTGTTATTTCATGTCAACTTGCCAGCATCACATTTTTTTATAATCTGGAAAATCATTTTTGTAGCAGTGTCCACACTGTAATGCATCCCTTTTCAGTGTTGGCAGTTTCGTGTCAAAGCAATATGCTGTTGGTTCATAAGTAAATTTGTTCTTGTTAGGTGCTCTTTATGCCAAAGGGTTTATTTTTATTGGTGAATTTATAACCCATTCAAAAGCTGTAGGTGTCTATAGTTTGTCACTGTTCAAGTTTGTTTCCCTTTTCTCCAGAAAATAATACTTCCTCAAGAATTGCCGTCTGAACACCCTGGTTTGTACACTCTGGCTAATAGGGGCTTTTATATTTAAATAAAGAACATTTGAACTGTAATCATTTTCGCTTAATTTCTTAAAGCTCCATAATAAACATAGACAAAACGTTATTTTTCTTGTTTTAAGCCTAAAATGTACACTTTGTTATTTTGTTCCACCATTTGTCAAATTATGTTAATGTTAAATTCTACAGAAAGGTTGGATACGTTTCGTAGGTGGTTAAGAGTTTTTGTTAAACGTTAAGATTTAGATTTACATTTGTCTATTTACAATGTTCCAAAAGTTTCAAGGGGATTCATTTTAGCGACAGACTAAAAATAAGGAAGATGTCGCAAACTGGTTCCAACTTGAGCGAGTGTTCCTGTTTGGCCTACACGATCTTTGCCCTGCGCATAGTTTCAACGTCATCACAAAACCTTACAAAAGCGTTCAACCATGGACCAAGTTTGTCCCATGTCATGCAGTATTTCATTTAGTTATGTGTCTAGCTCTTAATTTGTCTCCTGTTTGTCAGCTTTTATAACTTCCTCTCGCTATATACATAAACATATACATTGTTTCTGGCGCGGAATTCAAAGTCGTTTGTGATGCGTTCAAAGCTCAAGAGAAAAAAGTGTTGTAAACATGCAGCACGTCCAGAGAAAGCCCAGGATCAAACGCATCAGGTGATTGAAATAACATCGGAGTCTGCAGGCTCTGAAGTCGACACAGCATTTAACAATAATAATCTGACCTCACTGGACGCATGTAAACCACTCGCTCCCATCTTCACCAATACAAAAAGCAAAAACGTGAACTCTTCTTTTTCTCACCGGGAATCAGAGGAATTTCCCATTTCAGATTTGGATGTATGTTTAAGAGATGTCCACGTTTCCAATCCAACATTCCCGGTAAATGTGTTCATAAATATACTACGCAATAAAGGCAGTCTCCCTGTCGCATCTAGTGGTGAGTATCTGCAGTGGTCTTCTAATAGAATATATACCAGTCCTAATTGTAGATCTCTTTTCCAGACAACATACATGAGAGAAACAGTGCTGCCGAGGCGGATAATGCTTCACATGTTGAGGACAGTGCAAAGTCAGCCCCTGTAAAGCTTCACAGATTGAGTCGAACTCGTAAACTCAAATATGGAAGTGTCAAAGCAGAGCAACACAATAATATAATAAAAGAGGCCAAATCACACCACCAGCCGGTCCAGGCTTCAGATGTGCACCACAGAGGTAAAACTATAACGGTATTTAAACCAATCTTGTACAAAGAAGTCATATCTGTGGCATTTCATCCACTGTCAGACTGTACATTAAGTCTCTTCAACAACTTGCAATCGGACTAGAAAGAATAAAAGCAGCTATAGTCACTTTATTTTTATTGTACATAATATATCTTGCACAAAAGAGACCATATTTCACTTTTTAACATGCTTGCACATTTTCTGTCTTTTACACAACCTGAGTGATATTATTTATGAAAATCTCTCCTTTGTGAGATCAATAAAGTCTTTCTCCTCTTATTTCTTTCAACAGAACCATTCTCTGAAGATGCTCTCTGGACAGACACATACTGCCCTCGTCACTCCAGTGAAGTCATCGGAAACACAGCAGCAATAGAAGAACTGCACAGGTTGTAACACAGATTTTCTCATGTCGGTGTCTGTCCTTACATTGAGTGGACTTGCATCTCCGCAGGCCTGACTCGGAGGGTCTTGCTTGTTTGCTTTGTCTTGGGGATGTTGCTGTTGAATCATGTGTGTGACATTCTGCCTCCACTAAAGTTGCTCATGATTTCATTCTTTTTCACTGTGCTGTAAACAAAGAAAATGGGAAGATTTGTCTATTTTGACGAGAATAATGTCAATGTGTTTTAGGTGGTTGAACAAGTGGAAGAAGAAATCTGATGTTGAGGACAAGAAGATTTCAACAGAAAAACAAAATAAATCACATAGCAATGGTAAGTAGTTTATTATTGGTATTTTTAACAATTCTATAATAAAGTTCCCTCATTAAAAAAAAAGAGTTTTAATCTCCATTCACGCTAATATCATGAACATTATGCACAAACATCTTTCTGTTAAATTGTCTTAAATTACAGAATACTGAATATCCGCTTCAAAATGTACTGGACTCTCAATACTTTGATGCTAATTTGTTTTATTTTACAGTGTAACAATGCAACATAGGATTTAAAATGTTTGCCCTGTTTTTGATGCTTTATTTCTGCTTAAGTTACGCAAAATGATTAAACACTTGCATTGACTAAAAAGCGTAGTTTTCATTAGTTTGTTGTAGTGTCTTAAAGCAAGATCAAATATTCTTTATTTTTTTTATTTTTTTTAGTACCTGCATTCTGAATACAGTTACTCAAACATAGTATTACAGGTACAGGCATGGTATTACTCCATCACATGTTTGTCTGTATACTTTGGCATTTAATGTGGAGGAGAAAATAAATATTCTCAAGATTATATGATTACCAGTTTATAAGATTATATGTTAGGAGACAAAATTGACACAAAAAATGCATAGTATTTTCTACCGGACTCTAAATGCTTCTGTGCAGATTTGTGGGACTGTGGAGACTTTGAGGGTGAGGCTGGATCTGACTCTGAGGCAGAGGAGCAGCTGCACAACACCATCCTCATCTCAGGACCCCCGGGAGTGGGGAAGACCGCCGCCGTTTACGCCTGTGCCCTGGAACTTGGGTTCAAAGTTTGTAACCATTTTTATAAATTAAATGTATTTGTGCTGTCACAATGATAAAATGTCCCGCTCTATTTCAATATTATTGAATAGACACAAAACTAATGATACCACCGTGAATTTAAAATGCTCTTTTTATAGGGACTTTTTATGACACTACAATTTGTTTTCCCGATTTTAAAATATAGTTCAACATTTTAAAGCAGTGGAGACTGGGAGTTGCTGTTATCCAAGCTAATCAAGATGGTCATCAACAAACACGGTTCAAACATCAAAAAGAACGTTTTATTAGAATGAACAGGCTTTTAATGGAGGTGGTGACCAGTTCAAAATGATTCAAAAACATTGTTCTATTTTTTTGTATTGATATGGCACGCCGCCGGATAAATGGCAGGAGATCTGGTGTACACTGGGGTTGTCTTGCACAGTTATTCCAATGTGGTTTTAGTGCAAATGGCAAATTAATTCTTGAATCTTGAGTCTCGATACTTCAGTTTCAGGACTAGTTTTGGTATACATAAAAATCCGATTTTCTTTATTCTGGGATTTATTTTGGGAACCCTGATCGCCACCCATAATAGCTATAGTGTATGGTTTTTTTTGGTAGGTTTTTGAAGTAAATTGCTCCTCACAGCGTAGTGGAAGAGACATGTTGGCCCAGCTTAAAGAGGCCACCCAATCGCATCAGCTGGAGACCTCCGCTACGGACCCTCTAAAGCCAGCTTTCTACAACAGCTACAACAGAAGCTACGGGAAATCCGAGAAATTACCTGATAGGATAGGTTTGTATTTTAAAGTTTAAGTGAATGTGAATGACTGGATTTTTTTAAATGTATGTTTTAACACGCAGCAAAGTCGCAGAAAAAGGCACCCATCTCCATTTGCAAAAAGAAGCCAGTACAGACAAGGTCCAGCTGCAGAAACCGTGTGAAACGGATCACTTTGACCAACTATTTCAAAACAAAGGCAAAAGCTGATTATTTATACTCAAGTGGGGCTCCACCGTCTAAGAAACTACAAAAAAGTGCAGGTCCAGAAACACACAACAGCCCGAATGGAAAAACCAAACAAGATATGATGATGTCTCTCATTCTGTTTGAAGAGGTAAATCAAATGAATGTTTTACAATGAAAAGTTTACATTGTTCTTACGTTTTACTTTTTGTTACAGGTCGATGTCATATTTGAGGATGATGTAGGATTTCTTACAGCGGTAAAGACGTTTATGACAACCACAAAAAGACCTGTTGTCCTAATGACCAGTGGTACATGCACACTATAAAGAAGCAGTGGTTCTCAAATGGAACACAAATGACAGCTGAATTTTTTGTTAAAATATTGAGCATTTTCACAAATTATTGTTCTGTAAGCATTGACTAATACTGCAAAACTAAAATTATGACCACAATAACTTCGTCAGACTCGGGAAGGAAAGTGCAAAATACCATATACAGAAAACAATAATTACATTTCTCTGCTATTATTATTATTATTATTATTATTATTATAGATGCCCCATAGACATGAAAAAGACAGGAACAAAAAGAACAAACATGTCAGACTCTGTGCAGGCTCAGGCACCACTGAGTCCAAACTTGGTTCCGGTTCAGTCAGAGTCCTTATGATACATGCATTACTAAGTACATACGCACACCGGTGGGAACTCACACAAACATGTGGCTTGCTCTGCTCCACCGCGGCACCCTCAGCAACTCCTGATGCCATCATTACAGGCCACATTCAGTTTGTGCACGCTGCTCTTTTTTTTGTGTGGGAAATTTAAATAGATGGCACAGTAGGCTTTCAAAAGATTAGTCTGTGCTTCACACTAAGAAACCAACTTCATGAAATCTGCCAAAGGGAAAAGATTTTACATTTTATTTCAAGTCAGTTTTTTTTTATTTTTAATTTGTGCTTATTTTCTTAATTCATGCCATTACTGTTTAATACTTAATAATAATGTCGAATTTCATTATTACTCTCTCAAATGAAGTGAAATTATGATTTTTTTTTGTAACTTTTTTTAGCTGTTTTCCAGGGTAGGTTTGCCGCCCACTAAAATGGCCCCACCCCACTATTTGAGAACCACTGCTATAAACCAGTATCCTGTTTTGTCTTTTAAAAGCAGGTTTAACATTAAATTATTTCTTGTGTAGATCCATTGTTCAGAGAGAAATTCAACTCTGACTTGGTTGAAATCATTTTTGAAACTCCCTCCAGGGTAAGGCCACCTAAATGTATATATTATCTAAATATATAATGTGTATTTATTGCATGGTTGTTGTTCCGTTGCCTGTGTGTGATTAAAGTGTGGGCTTTTTAAAGGCTGACGTCTGCAGCTACTTGCAGCTGGTTTGTTTGGCTCAGAAGGTGCGGCTCGACTCAGAAGATGCAAACACTCTTTTCTCAGCGACAGGCGGCGATGTGCGGCGCGCTCTGCTACAGCTGCAGTTCTGGGCCAACAGCGGCGCAGGAGGTCTCCAAAGTCAGTTCTCTGCAGATCTATGTGTGTCATTAGAACAGGGCTTCCAAGGCTTTTCAGTCACCACCACCCTGGGTATTTGTAAAATCAACGCACTCAATAATAATTTGAATTATCAGATCAGGCTAAATCTTCTTATGTATTTTTATGAACCTGAATCATCCATCCAACTATCCATTTTCTTCCACTTCATCCGTTGCCGGGTCGCGGGGGCAGCAGACTTCCCTAATCTTATTAAATATAACATCATATTTTGCGTCAATTAATGGGTGAATTACAGTGAAAGGATTTGAGAATATCCTCTCATGCTAAAACAATACTTAGAATTCAATATATAGTTTTAGAGTTAGTGTAAAGTTATTTTATACCTGGTGACTGAGCAATAAATAGGGCCTGTCGCTCTTCATAAATTTAAATATCCTCCTAAAAAGATCTTGAGTTCAAAAAAATTATCTTTATCTTACAGACAAAAAAAAACTAATTCCATGAAAAACTCGGCAAACAAAGGCAGCAAGGGTAAGATGGAGGAAATAGAGAGGTCAGACTGTCTTCCTGCTGCAGCTGCACTGGTGATACAAGTCCACTAGATAGAGACCAGTGTCCATGGGTGCTGGACAAATACAATATTTCTTATTTGGGTCCTAAAATAGTCCATCCATCCATTTTCTTCCCCTTAATCCATTTCTGGGTCGGGGGGTGGCCAGAGATGCCACCCAGTACACAGAGCACCAGCCCCACACTGATCCTCCTGCAGGTGGTGAGTCCACAGGAGCTGAGATCTTTCAGTTGGGGCTTCAGGCAAAGTGGGGTTAAGTGTCTTGCCCAAGGACACAACGACAGCAGTCATCAGTGGGAGTCGTGAAGTAGGTCTTACGGTGGGCTCGAACCCACGACCTTCAGGCTCAAAGGCCATTGCTCTACCAACTGAGCTACTGTCGCTCCTAAAATAGTACAAAACCAAATACATTTTAAAAATATTTCAGGAATATTTAAAATTTTAGACTGATGCAAAATCATGTTTTGAAATACATTTTTCTGTTTCAGTCGATGACGGAGAATCCACTTACAAAGGCTGCAGCGCCAACATGTTAGGCCTTCAGTCCATCACTAAAAATCATTTGTTCCAGTTTTTACAAGTAAGAATCGTAATTTTGACATTTTCATTGATTTGTGTGTCCAGTCTCAGCAAATCCTTTATTCTCCAGCTTACTTTATCGACAAAGCAACAGATGGCTGAACTACATCAGGCCGTGGTGGAAAGTTGGAGAAATGGCTTCCCAATATTGTATTCCAACCTAGAGTTCCTTCTACACATAGACTCAAGTAAATTGGAAAATGCGTGTTCCGACAGTAAAATGCTCTTATGTTACACCCCGCAATCGGGAACAACTTGTGATGGATATTCAACAACCAGTTCTGCTACTCGGACTAAATCTAGACTTGGAAGAAAGAAGAATGATCAATCCACACTCACACTAGCTCAAAATGTCTCCGATAAACCAGTGGACTGTTTGACTGCTTTGTCTGATTTCTTGGACGCCATGTCGTTCATTGATGCCACATTTCCAGCAGCTCAACATCCATGTAACCTGGAGGACTTTGTTTGGACTGGGGCAAAGGTACAGGACGGGCTACTGGACAAGCTGAGAGAGGAGGAGGAGGAAGAGGATGAAGACCAAGAGATGAAGCTGGACATGAGGGCCACACTGGAGGCTCTGGGTGTTCACCGATGCGGGAGGAAAGCGGCTTTGCAAGTTCAGAAATCCAGACAAGGACATGCAGAAAACCTCCGTTATGTCAGTCCCAATCGACACGTGTAAGTTCAGATGTCTACAGTGTACATGTTAAAAGCTCGGGCACCTGAATTCCCCCTCTAAATACGATTGGTTTGTCCCAACAGTTTGACTTGTAAAAGTAAAACGTTGTGATAAAACAAATCAGACCAGAACATGCCGCCTTCATCTTAGGTTACAGTTTGCATATTTTTAAGAAAGATAAGATTAGATAGATAAGAAGAGCCCTGGGAGTCACTTTTTGACCGTTTTGGCAGTGAGCCGATTGTCGTACTCTTTTAAACAGAAAAGTGAAAAGGATAATCTAAACATGTGACAGAATCAAACTGTTGAGAGTGAGGAACTATTTAGTCCGATTCAAGATAAGATAGTCCTTTAATCGTCCCACAAGGGGAACATTTTTTATGTCATCTTTTGCGCACACTACGGCAGAATAAAAGTAGGAAAAAAGAGCACTCAGATTGCACACAAACAGGATTTATTATTTAAGAAAGTAAAATAAAAAAAAAATGTCCATACATGCATTTTATTTCCATTTTTAGCGGTTTGAAAGTCATGTACCCCTGCTTTAAATGGACTGTTTCCCTAATTGTGTTCTGATAAGACATGTTTGAATAGTGTTTCACATAGGTTTGATCTCTACAAGAAAGTCCTCAGCAGCCAATACTTCGGCCTGCTCCACAACACACGAGCGGCCGGCCAGGACTACCTCCCTGTCATACGCTACATATGCCGCATTCACAGGAAACAAAAAACTCTCAGGTGAGACGGACACAAAAACAGGAGTCAATTATACGTGTTTTACATTATTCTCCTTATGCTTTTTTTAAAGGTGTATCAACACTTTCAGAACTCCACTAGGACTGACAAAAGAAATGGTTCGACTTTTAGCTGGTGAATTCTCTGAAGACCAAACGAAAATGGAAAACGATGCTACCTCAATAAGCTGAGTCAAATACTGTTCACCCAGTATGACGTGGATAACATATTTATTTATAAGCACAATAAAGTTTATTTTTTTAAATTTACTTCCCTCTTATTCCAGAAAATGAATTAAAACGAATCCTTCAAAACCAGTGATGGAACATTTTAGCCAGTAGTTTAAAGTCACATACGAACAGTGACTTGGAAGTGCAGTTTTAAAGAGGTTTGACCTGGAAAAGTCTTAGGACTGTAGAACGTTGCTTTTCTCAAGAATACATCTGGTTTCCAATTCAATGTATGAATATTAAGACTTCATTTTAATACAACTAAAGTTAAAGGGCTCACTTGGTAGAGCATTGGCCTTTGAGCCTGAAGATTGTGGGTTCCTCCACCGACTCCCGCTGATCTCTGCTGTCGTTCTGTCCTTGGGCAAGACACTTAACCCCACTGAAAGATCTAGCCATTGCTCTCAGACATCAGCCATCCTCCTGTGGACTCACCACCTGCAGGAGGATCAGTGAGGGGCTGGTGCTCTGAATTGGATGCAGCTCTGACCGTCACCCTCCGACCCAGAAATAGATTAAGGGGAAGAAAATGGATGAATGAATGGATGGATATTTTAATACAGAAATAGACCCTGAATGTTAAGATATTCTTCAAAGACTCGTTTTCCCCAAATGTAAGCAGTGCCCGGCCCCAAAACTGAAGAGTGTCTAGTGCAGTGAATGTGGTAAGTAACCGTGCATGAGAGTAGCCATTAACCAGACGCTTCACTGAGCAGCTCATAAAAGGCCACAGCTTGAAGCAACGCATCACACAGCTCCTCCCCAGTGCGCCTGCTTGCCATTTGAAACGAGTTCCTGTGTTTGAGCAAGAGTTCAGAAGGGAAGTTTATCCTCGGCAACTTCTGAGTGACCGACTCAGTCATGAGCTGTCTCACGGCCTGTGCTCCACTGGTCCGAGATTCACCCACCATGAGCCCAAAGTGTCGCCCCACAGCTGTGCGCATCATGTTTAATACCCTACAAGAGAGAAGAAATCACACTGTTGGCAACTGCTATGAATGCAGTGTTTGAATGAATGAAAGTAAACTATATAAACAATAAACCTTGGAGGGATATTTGGCTCTGGTTGTGGCACTTTTGGCTCAAGCAGAGCAAAAAGCATGGCCTCTACTGTCCTCATATGAGCCAATATAGGGAACAAGGTTGTATTCTGAACTGAGATTGAAGGTTTCTCTATGATGTAGAAATCTGCTTCTGGAAGATGGTCCACAACTGCAGAAACCTGTGATAACAAATGTCCATGAGAATCACAAGCAAGAAACTATATTTGAATGGTTTATACATCATACATCACTGAGGTAAAAAGAAGCGATGTATGTTCCCTTCAGAAAGTTGGGACATTCCATCTGCTGCCAATCCAAGACAGTCATTCCACGATCAACATGGGCCCAGGCAATTTTATTAGTCCCACACACGATGGAAACTATAGAACCAGCATCCTGAGAAAAAGAAGTGAGCCATCAGGGAAATATTGCATTATCAAAATGAAATATGGGTTTTACCTCTAGCCATGACCTGTCAACTTCAGGTCTGATAAACTTGACCAGATTAATCTTAACCTTTCGCTCTTTTTTGACAGGATTGAGGATGGAGTTGAACACAACCACTGCACTTTTGTGTTTGAGTAGTGGTACATTCACAACACTCTCCAGAGTCTTAAAAGGTCCATTTCTGGTCCTGTACTCTACAATGTTATGGGATTTGCGCCCACGAAGCAGCTTGACACTGGACAGTTCAGGGAGCGCTGCATTGTTAAGAAGCTTTAGGATGGTTTCCCTTTGCTCCGGCGTATAGCAGGCGTCTAGGGTCTTGCTCTCATCGTCTTTACAGGGAACAGGGCCGAGAATGGAGGCGTTTAGGGTCTCAAAACCAGATACTGGGATGCGGCACTTCCAGCAGCATGTACACTGCAGATACCGGAGCTCAAATTTAGGGAGGGAGCTTCGTGGGATCCGTCGAAATAATCCTGGCTGTGCTGGGGAAGAAACATGAAAGGAAAAAAATTATAATAATAATTTATGAAACTAGGGTATCTAACTTTGTTTCCCAACAGAAATAATGTAACAGTAAAATGTGAACAAATCAAAACACATGACGTGTTCATGTTATTAAAAAACACTTTATACTTTGCATTCTTATAAGAAAGAGTGCTGAGAGTCACTATTTGACCCTTTGGGCTGAGAGCTGAGTCAGGTTCTGTCTAAAAGTTAGAGTAGTTGATCTAAAGATGTGTCAGAAGCAGGCGAACCAAACTGAGTTATATGGGTCTAAGTTAATTTGTTGAGGTTTGAAAGTTTGGTACTCCAGCTTCAAGACTTTTGCAAACAACATATTTCATCTGTAGTTTAGACATCAATAAACATATTCTGAAATGGTTGAGATTCTTCGCTTACTTGCTACTCGATACGTTTTTTTTTTTAGGCAATTCGGTATTTTGGCCTAAATCTATCAGCCCTATAGAAGAGCCATCGTGTATGCGCGTAATCCAAGACTAGATTAACCACTTGTCATTTTCATATTCTTGGAATAAATTTTAGGTTTTTTTTTTATCACTGCAACAAGGGACAATAAACGTATTATTAGAATATTTACCTTTTTGCGCTACAGATGTAACGAACTGCCTGGCGACCCACATTATAGTTAAATAATATCTTAAAACAACTTTAGCAAGAACATGTTGTAGATCGCGCAGAGTTGTTGTGTTGCTGTCCTTCAGGCTGTGCAACACGTTATTATCTCCGGTAGGGGAAACATTTCAGTTTGAAATGTTCCTAGTGTCGTAGAAGACCGATTCAGCATTCTGCCTGCCTCCACTTTCCAAAAAAAATATATATATATATTATTTGTACGTTTACAAATATACGTAAAATATAAAAAAAAAATGATGACATAATTTCATTTGTAGTAATCTTTGCCTTATCCTGTAATGCTCACTCGTCACGAATGAATGAAAGCTTTTTTTGCATGTAAAATGGGGGCATTGTTTCACTTCCTTTCTCTGTTATTTCTAGACCTCTGCATTTGTGTGCTGAACAATAAACTTCGTGATGCTATACTGCAAGAGGAAACGCTGTTTAGTTCAGTCTCCAGCTGTAATACGAGTGAGTGGTTGTTGCAACTGAGGTCAGAATGGAGTTGAAACCTGGGATATCTAATGTTTAAAGCTCATGCATTTCACTCATGGCAAACCTGGAAAGAAATAACAAAATCCTTCTTGAATTGATGCAACAACCTGGGAATAATGTATGCACTGACTGTGGATCTCCAGGCAAGTACAGTCATTTGATAATTTATCACTTAAACTGTGTTGTCTGGTGTAATATGTAATAGCAAAAAATAACAAAGACTAGAGCTAGACTAGAGGAACTTTAGTATCATTTTACCTGTTCCCTAAATTGTTGTGTGTCAAATTATTTGAAATGTTTTACTTCACAGAAGCTGACTGGGCTTCATACACACTGGGCATATTTGTATGTCTCAACTGCTCAGGATTGCACAGAAATATCCCATCTGTGAGCAGAGTCAAATCAGTGCGACTGGACTTCTGGGACGACACTCTTGTAGAGGTATGTGTGGTTCATTTACCACACATCAAGTAATACACATGGGCAGCAATTCAAAAAGACTGTTTATGATTGAGATAATAAGTTTGATTTGATTAGTGATGTAATTGTGTTTATTAATCTTTCAGTACAACTCAAGCTGTGATTTTGTTTATGTTGCAGTCCATGCGAAAAAAGGGGAATTTGAATACCAAAGCTGTCTATGAAAAATCGATCCCTATTTTTTATTATCGACCGCAACAGACAGATTGTGTGTAAGTAATCCATAAGAAATGAACCACTAGTTAAGCTATGAAGCGCATACATTTTTATGTGCAGAGCCCTTTTCACAGACCCTCCATGCCACTTTTCAATGTTTTTTTGTTTGTTTGCATTTATTAATAATTCGTACACACACACACACACACACACACACACACAATGATTGTAAGATGCTGTGTAGCCACAGCTGCCCTGTGGTAGACTGGTGGGAGCAGACCTGCTGCACCGCCAGATCACCACCAACTATTCTTCAGATTCATAGACTTTGTGCCTGTCTTCATCCTCATGTGCAGGCCGCACAATGACTGTCTTCACTTCAATGACACTATTAATACCGTGCACCGGTATTAAAAGTGTTCTGTCGAGACAGTACAAACCAGGACATTTTTTTAATGAATATGTGATATTCCTCTGTAAACAAACTGAGCAATACTCACAAAACATGTTGTCCGGTATTATGATTTTCTTTTTGTTAAACTATCACTATATTCTATCGACAGTTTGCTGAAGGACCAGTGGATACAGGCTAAATATGAGAGAAGAGAATTTACTGATGAAACCAAGGACTTTCAGCTGTCGTACATGTTAGGTGAGTATTTAAAAGAAATTAAAATCACAATATTAATTATGAATAATAATCATATTTATTTCTCTTTAAGATCCTTTCGAGATTGTACTCTGGAAGAAGGGCAAAAAGAACAAGCAGTTTCTTAAGAGGAACTTCCTTCTGTCTCAGAAAGACTTCACCCTCCGATACTTTGTAAAAGAGGATGTAAGTGGTAAATCAGAAAGTTTAATCAAATACGAATACACCCTAAGTTTGCTCCTCCGATATTGTTTATGAAGTGTAAAGTCCCCAAAAACATCATCAATATGAAGGACCTAAATGCAATTTTTCAACCAGAGAAGATTGGACATCCTCATGGGCTCCAGCTCTCTTTTATGCATGATGACAAAAGAACCCGGAACATCTTTGTTTACCATGAAAATGCACAGGTGATATGTGTATCATGCATTACTAAGTATGATCATCATTCTGATTCTATGCTTTTTATTTTAGTTAATCGTTTCTTTTTTTAATGCTCTTCGGAAAACACGCTTGACATATCTCCAAAGGAAAAATCCCACTGTTCAAGTTAATGACGTAAGATACATTCAAGAAAAGTCATGCATTTTACCTGTTGACAAATGTATTGTCCTTCAGTTATTACCTCAGCTCACGAGACCCTGTCTAATGGAAGGATACATGGAGAAAACCGGGCCAACAGTACGCTACTCTGACATCCATCCATTTTGTTCTGCTGCATGTGTTTTTAATACTTATTATTGCACTTTCATGTTTTTGTAGAAACTTGAGCCCTATAAGAAGAGGTGGTTTACGTTGTGTTCCATGAATAGAAAGCTTCTATATTTTAAGTCGCCTCTGGTAAGTGTTGTGTCCATGTAAACATGTAAATAATGTTCGTGCCTCACAGTGAGGGCTGGTGTGTGAGCAGGATGCCACAGAGCTGGGCTGTGTCTTCATCGGCTCCGAGAGCCATCGTTACTCTGTGTCAGAGCTCAGTGTGCGCAGCTCCAGAGGCGGCCGCTGGAGCTGTGGCCTCAGTCTGCAGACTCCAGGCCGACAGTTCATCTTCATGTGTGAGCAGCAGCACGACCAGCGCCACTGGCTCAACGCCTTGAGCAGAGTCATTTCTCTGCCCATGAGTGTGGAGGACTACGCAAGTAAGTGTACTTCACACTGGTGCCAAGCTCTTTGAAATATAAACATCTGATATGTGTTTTTCACTTTTATTTAGATGAAGCCAGCCTTAGAAGGACGAAATGACACTTTCAATTACATGTTTTGTACTCAATGTAATGACTGAACACATTGGCAATACAGTATTTTATTTAGAGTACTGTATTATTGTATATGTTTTGTATCCACTGTTATTGTATTTACTTCCAGTTAATTAACGTTTTGTATGTTTATAACTATTATATTAACAACTTAAAAATGTTTAGGCTGCTAATATGAGCCACTAAATCACAGTGCAGCGGTTGCTCTCCACTTCCACTGAGTGTAAAGGGATTCAGGCTGTTCCAAAGGATTAAAACAATCACAGGGTGTTACAGTTACTCCCACAGTGGAACAATTAGACACTCATACAGTCATGTAAGTCATGTTGGTGGTTACACGCCTCCACAGATGAAGTATTTTTGCCCTGTTGGTTCTCTCAAAGTGAACTCTGGTTCACTTGAGATTGAAATATAAATACACCCTAGACATGACATTCTGAAGGGGGACTTTGGCTGGTACTCACTCTATGCTGTATGCTCTTTGATTCACATGCTCAGGCGCGTCATAGCAGTATTTCAGTTAATACACTATAGTCATAAAATTACATAAACATATAGTTGACAATACCCAGAATGAGGTGCAGGTGCATAAGGTTATGCAAAGAAAAAGATGCATTATATTCTAGCCTGGCCTTAGCCATCCGTAAACTGGTCAATTATTTGAAATGTGCACAATGTTGTGGTAAGACCAGGCTAATTATATTCAGGCGTTTTATAGATAAGAGAACTGAGCTGAGTGGAGTTGAATAGAGTGAATGGAAGTATCCTCTCCAAGAAAAATAATGTTTTGCCCAAGACAATGTCTTCAAAGGTTTTCATTACATAGTAGACTATAGAAGAGAGACTGATTGCACTATTGTGTTATGTAATAGTTTATTTAATAAAAATGTCAGGCTTGTTTATTTGTTGTTTATCTTGTTTGTAAATTGTTTCTACAGTGTGCACTACACAGTGACGACCAAGATAGTCTGATTGGCAAAGCTGAACATTATATTTCAGCTTATTGTTATTATAATAATTATGGTTATTTATTTGTTTTATTCAGCAGCATCACCTGCATGTGACAGCCAGATCCTGTCTGACCTCTGAAGCTAAGCAGGACAGACCCTAGTTAGTACTGTGATGGAGACCTCTGGGAACCAGGGGCCACAGTGAGGCGGCTGTGGCTGTAAAGTGCCAAACTGTCTTGTCCCTAGGCAAGATACTTCACCAACATTGTCTAGTATGAGTTTGGTATGTGCTTGAATGGTTGGTGAGGGGCAGATGGCACATACTGGTTGCCTCGCTTCTTTAAGTGTGACGCAGGGCAGCTGTGGCTACAATAGACGTTTATCATCACTCTTTATGGAGTGAAAGAATATTGTTTATATTATTATTATTATTATTATCATCATAAAAAGCATCCTCCATTCGAGGACTATTTACATACTAGAACCATAATAGATCCATGACTAAATCATAAAAAGTGTGATCTTCCCTGCCTCCAATAAACGATCTTTGCGTGGGGCGTGGATCAGTGACGTTGTAAACAGTGGGTCGCCTGTAGGTTAGAGCTGCTCTGATTCCACTCCAGCTTCTGCTAGTGTTGATGGAGACGAACATGTTGTGATGTATTTATTGGCATTCGTTTGGATTGTTGTCTTGGGTTGTGCGCTAAAATGTCATCCAGGCGCTGAAATGCACACGTAGTTATCTGCTGCGAGAGGCCGTGGACCGGGACCGGGACCTCCATCAGGCTGCTGCTGCTGCTGCTGCTGCTGCTGCTGCTGCTGCTGCTCCACGCTGGGCAAGATGCGCAAGGACGTGAGGATACTGTTGTTGGGAGAGCGTAAGTTATTAGTCCTTTATGGTTTTTACGCTTTCTATCATCTGAGGAGACCAGGCCTAAAGCTGACTGAAAACAACAGGAGAGCTTCCAAGACCAAAACTATATGCTTAAAGCTGGTGTACCTAACTCAACCACAAAAAATATCTAGCTCATGAATTAAAATATCTGGTTCCTACCGCTCAAAAAGCTGCTTGTTCCATTTTTCATGTGCATATATCTTTAGGTCAGCTTTTTCTGACAGAAAAGAATAACAGAGAGAATCAGCCAATCACAAATAATCAGGTCAAAACATTTACTTCCATATGACTTTGAAAACAAGTGAGCTAACTCCCACAACTCTAATCCTTGGGTTTGTGTTTCTCTGCAGCCAAAGTGGGGAAGACCTCGCTCATTATGTCTCTGGTCAGCGAGGAATTCCCAGAAGTGGTGAGAATCCCTTGCTTTATAACTGCACTGTCTAATGTGTGCTTACAATGTCAGCGCTCTTGCTCAAAATTGAGATGGATGCTGACTATTTATGTTCCGGTAGTGCATGTCACAAATCAAGCCATTGATGCTGACTGTTCTATGACCTTTTCCTCACCTTTGAGCTGTTTTTCTTTTAGGTTCCTTATCGAGCAGAGGAGATTACTATTCCTGCAGATGTCACGCCAGAGCGTGTTCCCACACATATTGTGGACTACTCTGGTAAGTGTAACAGATAATAAGACAATTTGAACAAAAAATAAAAAACCTTTGAATCCTCAAATCTTTTCAATGAAACATCTCCTTGACAGAGGCAGAGCAAACCGATGAGCAGCTGTTTCAGGAGATCTCTAAAGTTAGTATGTGTGTTGTAAATGGTTTGTCACCAGGATATAACCATCAATTCAAACGTGTTCTCTCACACAGGCAAATGTAATTTGCATCGTGTACTCTGTCAACAACAAGAAGTCTATAGAGAAGGTCTGTTTCTGCTGGCTGTGAAATGTTTCAAACTGATGAACATTGATGTTTATAATGAGTCTCACTGCAGGTCACCAGCCACTGGATCCCCCTGATCACAGAGAACACAGACAAGGACAGCAGGTGGGCTGCACCGTGTTGCTCTGGCTCTACACTGCCTGCACATTGCTAAACCCAGTGCTCTGATTGTATTTTCAATATGAAGGGTTCCTTTGATTTTGGTGGGGAACAAGTCTGACCTGGTGGAGCACAGCAGTATGGAGACCATCCTGCCCGTTATGAACAAGTACAGCGAAATCGAGACATGTGTGGAGGTTAGGTTATTTTTTATATATATTTTAAAATAATATAGGTCAGCTGTAATACCATTGCACTGCAACATTTACTTTCTCTTTTCTCCCTAATCGCCCTTCAGTCTGTGGACTGTTCTCTGTGACCCCTGTGTTAGCGGCTTCTCGTTTTGCAGGCGAGATAATTGCTAATTGACTAAGTGCCTCTCACAGATCAGAGCGCTAATCCCTCGTCTGGCGCTGACTTCTCGTTCACTCACAACTGCTTCTGTAGTTGTAGAAGCAGATGTCCAACAGGAGTAACCTCACATGAACGCTTTACGTGCACTTACCAACCCACCCACATCGTTTAGCTACACAACACTCAAGACAACTTGTCGAGAATTATGAACTACATTTTCTATTTTGTAACATATTGTATTATTGATAAAAAAAATGTATTGTATTATTGATAAAAATGCAAACTTTCTTTTCAGTGTTCGGCAAAAAACCTGAAGAATATTTCTGAGCTGTTCTATTACGCTCAGAAGGCCGTGTTACACCCCACCGGTCCTCTCTACTGTCCTGAGAAAAAATGTGTAAGCCAAAGTCACTTGTTCTACTATTACTCATTTTAACGATGTCTTAGCTTGTTGTAATGTTACGTGCCGGTCTCATTGTCCCAGATGAGGTCCATGTGTGTAAAAGCCCTCACTCGCATCTTCAAAGTGTCTGATTTGGATAATGATGGGATTCTGAATGACAACGAGCTGAACTTTTTCCAAGTAAATCCGTTTTATTGATCTTTTCACGACACTTCATGCTTATTCTATTACATTATGACCTTTTTTTTCAAAGCGGACAAGCTTCAACACTCCCCTCGAGCCCCAGGCGCTGGATGATGTTAAAAATGTGGTGAAGAAGAATGTCGATGATGGCGTTCGGGACAATGGTCTAACTCTGAAAGGTGATTGTGCTTGTTTAATCACCTTTAAAAACTGACCTTTTAACAAACTTCATTTTTTGACCAGGTTTTCTGTTTCTTCACATTTTATTCATTCAAAGAGGCCGCCATGAAACAACCTGGACAGTCCTGCGGCGGTTTGGCTACGACGATGACCTGGAGCTAAATCAGGACTACCTCTTTCCTCTGTCGGTGTAGCTAAAGCACAATCTCAATCTTTTAGTTAATTTCACTCTAATAAATGTTTGTTTTTTGTTTTCTCCAGGTTGAAAGTCCCTCCTGACTGCACCACAGAGCTCAACCATAACGCCTACCTCTTTCTCCAAAGCGTCTTTGACAAACATGATAAGGTGGGTTGTTTTAGAATCGGAATCAAAATCAGAATCATTTTTATTGCCACGTAAGTAACAGGAAGTCACAGACTTGGAAATTGCTTTGGCTCAGTGCAACAGTCAGAAAGAGATAATAAAAAATAAAGAATAAAAAACACTTCTAAGGAATAAATTTAAATTTTTTAATAAATAGAACTTGAAATTACAAAAGAACCAGTATTTAGTCTGGATTGTAGAATAGATTAAGAACGGACCATGCTAACCTGCTAGGTCTATGAAGCCTGATTTAATATTGTTATTGTATTCATTTATCTTGTGCTGTGTGCTCCGATGCAACACTGAAATTTCTCCACTGTGGGACAAATAAAGGATCTCTTAATCCAATAGGGAATTGCTCCTATTCCCTCACATTGTAAAGTCAATCCCGCCTAAAATTTAATTTCAGCCATAAATCTCTTGGTGTTTTTTTATTTGGATTTACAAAGAGAAAATATCAAAACAAGGTGCCAAATAATTGACCAGGAGCCTTCTGTTTCAACTTGCGCCTGGTTAGTTGCGTGAGCGGGAACGGCACTTCCTCTCTCCTGACTTCCTCTTTGGTTGCCGTGTGGTTGCTATCTGAAAATTTACCTCCAGATTCACTGCCATGGAGTCTGCCTGAGTAAAGGCAAACACTGCACTTCTACAGTCTATACCTCTTAATAATAATACATTTTATTTAAAAGCGCCTTTTAAAACACCCAAGGACACTGTACAGGACATAATAAAAACATTAAAAACAGGATCAACAGAATAAAACCGTAGTGCAATATGGAATGTGGGTGTGTGTGTGTGTGTGTGTGTGTGTGTGTGTGTGTGTGTGTGTGTGTGTTAGGTGGGGCAGGACAGTCTGAGCAGATGGGTTTTAACCATAGGTAATTTGTCTTTGATCACTGCCAGATCTGCTAGTTTTCACTGGGGGGTCACAAAGGATACGTCCCTGCTTACACTGCCTGTAAATATTCTGGAAAAATATTGGGAGTAGCACTTTGTTAGCCTGGTCTTACCGGACCATCGTACTCATTTAATTTTGTACCGGAGTTAACAAATGGCTAAGGACAGGCTAGCACTTAGTAGGTCTTTGATTGTAAATTACCAATCTAATCCACTTTATTCATATAGCACATTTTATGAAACAAGTTGAAATGTACAACTGCCAGCTTTTATCTATAGTTAAAAAAAGAATATAATTAAAAGCAAAAAATATCAATAAGAACAATACAATACAATACAAATTATACATGCATACATAAAACAAGATATAACCTGGAGTTAAAAGCCAGAGAATGAAGGTGGAGATGTAAATTTTTGTTTTCTTGTCCACCTTTACTCTCGGGCCATCTCTGCAGAAAGTAAAGCCTGTAAAGTACTAAAATACACTCCAATGCTGACCACCTGCTGGGAAAAGATTTAGCTTTTGACCACTAAGGACGGATTGACAGAGAATTAAAGGCAGGGTTGAAAAGTCGACTTGAAAAAGTGCCAAACTCCCAGTGTGGTCATAGCTTTGCATTTGTTTACTCTCTCCTTGTGTTCCTCCAGGACCGGGACTGTGCCTTGAGCCCAGACGAACTGAGCGACGTGTTTGATGTGTTCCCGTACATGCCCTGGGGTCCTGACGTGAATAACACCGTGGGCACAAATGAGCAAGGATTCGTCACGTATCAGGGGTTTCTCTCACAGTGGACGTAAGCATTGCAATAAACGTAACTCATAATGGTCATAATGGTCCACTGACACAACCTACTCGAGTAATTTCTGCTTTTTATTCTGTCCATGAGATGCTCTAGGTCAGGGGTTCCCAAAGTTTTTAGCCCGCGACCCCCATCATAAATGCCCTGCTAACCCGCGACCCCCGCCCCCCCCAACAGCCCTTCCGTCACATGAAATGAGCATGTATTTCCTTGATACGGAGTAACGCTTTCTAGAGACTCACGCCACTACCGAGCTGCACTGTCCAGCCCACAAAAGGAGGCTTGCATATTTTTACTCATGTAGTGAGTGACACAGTGATGGGCTTGGTGGGCTCCCTCCTCAGCAGAAGTGGAGCGCATTTCTTGCGGCTCGCCCTCACTGTTCTCCTACCGCGGTAAAGTGGGCCGGCTTTCCGGAGTCAGCGGTAAAGAGGTCCGCACATTAAAAGCGGGCGGCCGCTTTCTACTGTTACTTTATGCGGTTCATCCCCGCGGCTTCTCTTTCCAAAGTTAGTCAGTAAAGGCATAAACCGGCCACCCGCTTTTAATGTGCGGACCTCTTTACCTTTGACTCCGAAAAGCCGGGCCTCTTTAACGCGCTGTTCTACCGCTGTCCTCCCTCCCTCCGCTGCCCTCTCTCCCTCCTCTGCCCTCTCTCCCTCTCTTCGCACCATCAGCCCCTGATACAAGTGACTTTTCTCCCCCTCCGGGTTTTTCTGTTGTGGATATTAACCACGTTTCATTTTAAAGCAGGTATTATTTATTTGTAGCCTCCAAACACCTTTAGTTTTAGCAAACAACAGCAGGACACGCTTTGTCGCTGCGCATGATGTGAGCTGTGTTACGTGATGATTTTGATTGACGCTGCAATGACTGGGACAAAATTAAACGTTATTAAAATATATTATAGTCTCCAAACACAATTTAACAAGTAGTCCTTTTGAATCAAATCAAATGCTAAATAAATATTTAAGGACTTTATATTTGCTCAAAAAAAAAAAATCTTTTTTGTTTGTTTGTGTGGAAATCATCTTGCGACCCCCCCAGGGGTTCCCGCGACCCCCCGGGGGGTCGGGACCCCCACTTTGGGAACCACTGCTCTAGACCATGGGTGTCAAAGTCAAGGCCTGGGGGCAAGACAATTTTTAGTGGCCCCTGAATTATTGTTTATTGTTATTACCAAGGCAGGTCAGACATAATCTATTTTTTCAAATGTAATGTATTCTGACATTGTAACCCAATAACACATCATTAGAAGTTAAATAGTTCAATATAAAAAATGTTTTACTTTATATTTGATTGTGTTTTGTTCAGTCTAAACAATTAACACATTTTGTTAAAAACATAAAAATAAACCAGAAAACAACAGTGAAACTCATGTCACATTAAAGTCATGTTAAAATATCTTCATAATGTAAAAAAAACAATGATAAGAAAAGGAAATCTCTTTTATTGTTTCGGCCCCGACCAGTTCCCATTTTTTGAATCGGCCCCTGACCCAAAAGAGTTTGACACCCCTGCTCTAGACATCAGCTGTGTGTAACCAGGGGCTTGCCTTTTGTGCTACTTTTGGGATACATCACTTTTTTTCACAAATAATACAGAAACTTGTTGAAGTACATTTTTGTAATAAATTAAATTTTGTTGTAAAACATTGTCATCTTGTGCATACAGTACTTTTTTGACACTTTGAGCTGAGAGCTGAATGATAGAGGGAGATTGTTTGATCTAAAGATGTGACAGAGGCCAAAAATACACACACGTGAAACTAGCGACACACACTACGGTAACTATAATTAGAGACAGGAACTAGTGAGGTAGATATTACTACACAGCTCTGTACATCATACCCAGATGGTTTTATCTTTAGCATAGTGTGGCACTTATTAGTCTTTTTGCACACGATGAGTGATCCTCAATTCAATTCTTTTATTTACAAAACTTATAGTCATACAAGTTATACACATTAATAATGTAGAGTTGGTTGGTGTTTTGTAAAAGGGAACTCCCAGGAAGCTGCATTAGCTTATACAGTAGACGGGGCCCCAAGAACAATACATACAAAACAAATATGACAATTATACCATTATATAATCCCAAACCCATTTCTAAACATTTTACCCATAAACAAGTCCTTACAGTTGCAGTCTGTACTCTTTGGTTCATTTTCTAATAGATTGGTCTTACACATAGTAATGTAGCTCTTTGCATTACTTGATCCTCATTTTATGCCAAATGTAACATGTGTACTTCTCCATTGTGAAATCAATAAAATCTAATCACGAAAATGTCATCTCAGTTTTGCACATACCTTTTACCTGACTTTGACCTATACAATAATGGGAATTGTTTTTAACCAGTTTTCCTTCCTTTTTAGGTTAACGACTTATCTAGATGTGCAGCGATGCCTGGAATATCTGGGTTACCTCGGTTACTCAATCATAGCAGAGCAGGAGTCTCAAGCATCGGGAATAACCGGTAATTTATTTCTACATTTCAAGTCCGAATTCTAAAAAGGGACAGCAGTCAATGAAATGGCAGTCGTTTTTCCTCTAAATGTTGGAGAAAAATTGCACTTTGGTCTGAAAATTGGGCTTATTTAAGGCTGATTACAACTCAACAAAACTGCTGCCAGCTCCTCATATTTTCAAAGAAACTATTATTTTTTGCAGTACATTTTGTAGGATATTTACCATGATGTGTTTAATGAAAAATAGCATTCTTATCTCACTCTTATGTTGACTGTAGATATTTGCAATGGCTATATTCATTTATTTTGTGCTCTGTGCCTCCTGCAGTGACCAGAGCGAAGAAGATTGACCTACAGAAGAAACAGACCCAGCGCAATGTGTTTCGCTGCAACGTGTTCGGAGACGTCGGCAGCGGAAAGAGCGGCTTTCTGCAGGCGTTCCTGGGCAAGAATCTCATGGTAAAAATGTCTAACTAAACTTTTACGCACAATGTTTTTACACCGTCTCAGCCGCTGAATCAATGTATACAAGTTCATTTCTAGTATTGTAACTAATGGTACTATAGCTGGGCATACAACTGATGTATGCACAGTTGTATCTTTTTGATGTACTGTGATTTTTTTATGATTTTAATGCCTTGTGTGACTCTTTCTATCTGGTTTTGTTCAGGCACTTTGAGTTGCCGTGTGTATGAATTGTGCTATACAAAAAAACTTGCCTTGCATAATGCCATATTCTTTTAATTTTCTTGTTTCTCAGCGGCAGAAGACCATTCGTGAGGAACACAAATCCTACTACGCCATCAGCACAACCTATGTTTATGGGCAAGAAAAATACCTTCTTGTGAGTGTTAGATGACTCAATACATCAAAAGTATTAATGTAGAACAATAAAATGTGCATGCAGGTCAAGAATAATGTAGATAAAATGATAATAATGAACTTTTCTTTTGTGTTATTCAGCTCCATGAAGTGTTTCCTGACTTTGACTACCTAACTGATGCTGACTTGACCTGCGATATCGTCTGTCTTGTCTATGACGTCAGTAATCCCTACTCCTTTGAATACTGTGCCAAAGTCTTTAAGGTAACTTTTCCTCTTTCCTGGAAATTCAAAGTTGGAAAATGTAAACAGAATGCAAAGTTAGCAAAATCTCCCATCAGCACGATTTATTTATCGGCACAGGCTGGGAGATTCTGCATTTTTCATGTCCTCTGGTTTTCTAACTTGTAAATTTCTCCATTGTGAGATCAATAAAGTTTCTTATCCTAACTTCTCACATTAGTTTCTTCTTGTTTATGTCCAGCATTACTTCATGGACAGTAAGATCCCCTGTATGATGATCGCTGCAAAGTCTGATCTTCCGGAAGTCAAGCAGATGTACGGTTGCAGTCCGCTGGAGTTTTGCAGGAGACACAAGATGCCTCCGCCTCAGTCCTTCACCTGCAACACCACCACCGCTCCGGCCAAAGACATCTACACCAAGCTGACGACCATGGCCATGTATCCGTAAGTGGGATTACATAAAGGCACAGCAAGGAGAGTTTAGTTGTATAGCACAGGAAACATAAGGAAACAAAACAAGATCATGAATGTAAATTATCACACCCCATTCAAAAAATAGTTCAAATACAATCCGTCAGTTGTATGCATAGCTAAAAAAAACAGTTTTTAAAAGACTGGATTGGAACATTTTCAGGAAGACTTTAGCTTCGTAGCTTCTGGTCGGTTCATATGGGACTAACATGTCACTAATATATTTCGGTGCGAGGCCATGGAGAGACTTGTAACAAGCAGAGCTGTTTTAAAGTCTATTCTCTGAGCCACAGGAAGCCAGTGCAGAGACCTGAGAACTGGACTTCCTGGTTCTAGTCAGGACTCGAGCTGCAGAATTTCGAATATAGTGCATCTTTTTACGTTTAAAGATTAAAATGCTAACTTTAGTTTTTCTGAGGTGTAAATAGATTTGAATTCTGTTCCTAATAGTTTACATTTGCAGCTTTATAGTTGCAAGATGTAAAAAGGCAAAATGTGTGCAAATCTAGTGGCCATTAGGCGTTTAGTGTGGGTGTAGCCAGTTATTCTCAAATAATAATAATAATAATAACAATGCATTTTATTTATAATGCACCTTACATATGCTAATACATCTGAAGGCGCTACAGCAAGTTAACAACATATCAAAACATGGTAAATAAACATGGTATTTTCAAATCATAAAAAAAGAAACAACCTTCATTAGATGCTTCTATCCCCTTTGTTATTTATAGCGTGCATTTCCCCTTTAACAACTTGGTGTCTTTGGTAGTTGTGGACGACATTCTTTATCCTCTGATGGTAAAGCTGCCAAATCTTCAGCCTCCAGTTATTGTAAATTCCTGGGCCGCCTTGCATGAACTGCACGGTTTGAGATCTCCTCAGAGCGGCTCAATGATTTTAAAATTGAAAACACATTTATTTTTGATTAATGGATTCACACAACACAGAGCTCTGTGTACTGGGTGGCATCTCTAAATTTCAATTACTATTTTTTACATCATAACATTTTCAAAGTATCCCTCATTTTGTGATGTGAATGTCAAGTCTAACAGTGACTTCATCTATTCTTCGTGCCTTTGGGCTTTGAATTTAGATGTTTTGATTCCTACGGTTGTTCTTTTTCTAACCTCCTTGTCTTCTTCTCTCTGGTGTGTTGGGGTCTTCTCTCGTCTCTTCTGGGTCGCTCCGCAGTCACGCCCGCCTGCGCTGCATGTGCACGTGTAACCGCTGTACCTTCTGCTTGTGTCAGAATTTCCTCAACTCTGAGCTGCTGCAGACCGTCAGGGCCAAACTCTACGCTGTCGTGCTCCGAAGGTCCTGAACTATTCTTAAATGTTTTATATATTTTTAAAACTGTGTAAAGTTTTAAATGACAGCATAGAATCTGAATGCTGAAATACAAGGTAAACATGTTCAAATAAAATGTACCTTTTTTGTGTTTGCAATAGTTCAGATTGTAATTCAGCAGCTCGTCCCTCAAATGGGTCTCTATATTTGGGTGTTTTCTCTGACTGTAAGAGTGCGGGTTCCTGTATTATAAAGTGTGTGCCACTACAAGCTTAGTAACAGTAAGTTGTGGACTGTTTTAAATTACAGCAGAAAAAGCCTTGTAAAAGTAAAATGTTTGATTCAAGATTGTACTATGGGCTAACTTTTTGATACATGTTAGCATCAAACCATCATTTTACATGTATTTGGGCTGAGAGCCGATGGGCTAGGGAAGAGATGTCTTCTCCTTTTCACTTTTCTGTCTGAAAAATCTACTTTCAAGATGTGTCAGACCCAAAAATATATGCTTGTTTTGAGGATGTAAACAAAACATCCCTGTTCATTGTTTTGTATTGCATAGTTTTCTATTTTATATTCTTGGTGAAAGATCGCCTGACCAGCCAGACCCTCAACTTTCTGGTCAGGTTAGGTGACAGCACTAAGTAAAAATTTGTTTTCTTTTTTTATTTATTTAACCTCTTTACAACAACCGGCGCGCCGGCGTGCCGTTTTTATGTTTTTAAATGTTCTGCTGGCAATAGCAGATGTATTTTGAACACCAAACCCCAAAAGCTGTATATCATTTTAAAGCTTATTTTCTTATCTACATTTATATACAAGTGTAAACTACATCAGACTTTGCATTCAAAAGATTTAACACATAATGTGGGCACAAAATAAATCAATTCCGAAATAGTTTTTTACCTTTGGGCTTGTTCTGTACAAATAAATCAGCTCTCCTCCCAGCTTGCAATACATCATTCTCTCTGGAACAGTCCAAAGGAAAATTATATCCACTTGTATTTCCCAAAGTAAAATCCATTCTGCAGAAATAATCCAAAAATTTGCATTTATCTTTAGCGGAAAAAAACGGAAAAAACGAGCACAGATGTTGCCTTTTCACTTTTAACGGACTTTTAGCTTTGTTTTTCACCCGAACATCTGGTATCCACGTGTTCCTTAGCTCCTTATCTTTCAAATGAGACTACTTCCGAAAAGCTAAACCCATTTTTGGGTCTGCAAGAGCTCCCGTAAGTACAGCTTGCGCTGCTGTTTGCGCATGGATCACTGATCTTTTGTGGGGTCCCAACTTGTTTGCTTCCATTTCCGGGATTTTCGATTGACATGTCCGTGTAGCCAATGAGGAAAGCTTTCGAGCAAGGGGTGGGACAATGGTGTCCTGTCTTATATTGTGCCTGGACAATTGTGCGTAATGGCAGCCAAAAGACGCTCTCAAAGCTGCAATGAATTTACACTCATAAAAAAATAACTTTGACATAAAAAAAAAAACACACATAGATTAGTAACTTATAAGTACCAATAAAAAAAAATATTGTTTTTATGATGATTAAATGTAAGTAAAGATATTTGGCACAATTTGGCACACAATTGTGCCAAATGTGCACTACTTGATGAAAAGGAGAAACTGCATAAAAACTATAAAACTTAGAAGTCTGAAACTTTAGACAGTTGTTGTCAACAACACAATGACCACAGGGTTTGAATATTGTGAACTTACAATGAAGTATGCCTTTTTTAGGGCCTTTAGAAATTGAAAATGTTAGGCGAGGCTAAAAAAATTGGGTTTTTTTCCCAAACTTCAAAGGATGCAGAGGAAAATAGGAATGACAAACATTATTTTAGTGTTTTTTTACATAAACTAGAAGGCTCTAGCTTTAAAATGATGCATCACACAAGCATGTGAGATGTAAGATGTGTTTTTAAATAAGCAAAGACATTTGGGTATGCCCAACTTTTGTGCACAAGCCAAAATGAGGCGTTTTTTTAAACAAGTATATAGTTGTTGAGGTCTTGGGTTTAAGTTAGTATTTTTCTTTTCCACAGACACGTGAGTCAAGCTGAGCTGAAGAGCTCCACCTTCTGGCTCAGAGCGAGTGTTGGGGCCACAGTGTTTGCTGTTCTGGGGTTTGCCATGTACAGAGTCCTGCTCAAGCCGCGATGATCCTCCTGGAACCTCCTTCATGTAAAGAACAGTGACTCAAAACTACAAAATATATGGATTTTCAAATATTGTTTAAATGCTTTCATTCCAATTAACCATGTGATGTAAACGGTGCACATTTCATTGAGTGGCTGCGAAGGTCTGTCATTGTGGGATCATTCTTCCAGTCCAGCGTTTCATTTTGTATTTGTTGCTAACAATATTTAACTTTATGCTGTACGTAAACCGCGTATGTTTCATTCACTTTAATGCAAAGAAGTTACAGGTTTACAGAAGTCGCATGCTTTACGTTACAGTATTGTCAAAGCAATATCCTACTTCTATTATTTTATTGTATGATAAACAATGCAGTGGTAAAAAAACCAGAATAGATTTATTAATAGTATGGCTTTCCCCCTCTTGAAAAGATGCAATAATGTCCATCAGTGTAATTCATATTTTTCCATCAAAGGTTTACAATAAAATAATTATTTACACATTTCTGTTTTGTCAAGTTTCTTTGCAGATTGTGCAACGCAACACAAGGGGGCAGCATTGCATACTAGACGAGGAGGGCAATTACGGTTGGCCAGAAATGGAAGTAAATCATTGTGAATACATATGTATAGTAAACACTGGGGTATTTTTACTTGTTGAGTAGATTTCCAATTCCTAACTTTATTATTTATTTTTTCTTTGATTCTCAATTATGACATTACATCAGTCTAAACAAACTCACATCATGAACTCTGGTGTAATTGGTCAGAGCTTCTGCAGAGTTAACTTTATCTAGTTTAAATTATTAACTTTAAAACTTGTTTCTGTTCTCAATGATGAATAATTGTTGCTAATACTTTGAGTAGCCTTTTTTCTCACGTTTTCTCTGCTTACATACATTAAGATAAGATATTCCTTTATTCGTCCTACAGTGGGGAAATTTCAGTGTCATCGTTGCACACATTAGGGCAGAGAAATTATTTAAGACAATAGACAGAATTATTTGGCAGACTTGAGATTTATTGACATAAATGTACATTTTTGTCCTGGTCCGTAACAGACTATATATAGATGGACATTGTTAGCCCCCCTAAGCCCCCCTAGCTCAATAAAACCCAAGAGGGAAGTGCTCATGGTGAAGTCTTTCTCTGACCCATTTTGGCTCCTATTGACTTACATTGAAAAGCGCATCTCCTTTAGCCCGGTAACCATTTGTGTCACTATCACCATTTCTATGATCTTAGACTTTGATATTGTCTCGGGTCAGTGGCTCCTATCTAGATTTTCAACCAGTTACTAAACTACTAAACTACTACAATATGCCTTAATTTGTGGGGAAACTCCAGCTTGCCTTTGCAACCATGTGGGCAACACTTCTGCCTGCAACATGGAACAATATTGCCCAAATAAGGAAATTGGCTCCAGCTAGGTATGTTCAAATCCCCTTCTTCTGCATTTGGCAACCAGGGTAACAATGTCCTTTGGCAAGACACTTTAGTGACGTCTCCCACATTGCCTAGAATGTCAGGTGTTGGCATGAGTGGTTGGTGTTGGTCGGAGAGGCCGACGGCACAGACTGGTTGCCTCATTTCTGCCAGTCTGCCCCAGGACAGCTGTGGTTACAGTAATAGCTTATCACCACTGTTTATGGAGTGAATGAATAATGAAGTGTGAAGCGTCTTTGAGTGTCCAAAAAGGTATACAATATATGTATTATCGTTATTATTGTTATTATCATCATTACACAGCGCTGCAAACGGCGAAGTGGCACGCTCTCTGCCAAAACAATTTCCAAGTGGTAACTTTTGTTTGTTACTTACGTGGCAATAAAAATGATTCTGATTCTGATTATTAAGTCTATGATTTAGTAGTGGGCAGCACGGCTTGCTTTTCAGCTGGGTTTGAATCCCAGTCGGAACAGGGTCTTTCTGAGTGGAGTTTGCATGTTCTCCCTGTGTCCTCCTCCAGGTTTCTCTTACCACTAAAAGCATGCACAATAGGTCAAATCCTCCATCAAATCCTCTCCAACAACATCTGGAGAGGGGTCCCCGGACACTGTTACTACGGCGACCACTGGTCCTCACAGACGCCCTAGTGGCATCAGGATGGGTCAAATGCAGAGGATGAATTGCCCTGTGGGGATAAATAAACGATATGATGAATGCATAGCCTTTTGTTGTATATGTTACATCACTTCTACAGACACATTTTTGGAAGGTTTTTGATGCTTTTGATTGATAATGTAAACCCCCATTATTCAGATATATCAAAACATTGATATTGTTTTAAATAATCTGATAACCTGGTAAAAATCAGAAGTTTATTCAAAAATGCAATTAAATAGTATATTTCTGGTCAGTCTCAGAGCTGTGGAAAGCTGCCTCATCATCAGCTGGCACCGCACCTCTCTCCAACAGTATTCTGTTGTTCCGTCATGAATAACAGACATCAACTTCCCTTCTATCATTAGTTTTGTTTGATACGTCACATTTTAATAGTGTGTTGTCTGCCCATAGGAGCTGCACTGTTATTTGTGGGACAGTCTGCAGGGGACAATCCAACACCTTCATAACCTGAAATTTACTGGAACAGACTCTCCCCAAAGCTCTGAGCCCCCAGGACACACTGTAGGTGTGTCTTATCAGATAATTGGTCAATAAAAGGACTATCATTGTCACATAAGGACAGGACTGTAACCAGAGTAAGTGCACACCATGTTATTGTGTTAGTTGTCTGTGTTAATTACATTTATAGCCGTATATTGATCAGTAATTTGTAAACACCCGGAGTCCTTTTATTGACTGCTTTATTGACTCTACATAACTTCTATTAGGGAGGTTGTAGTAGGCGACAAACATTACCCTTCTTTACTAACTTAAACAAGACAATTGTTTAGAGTCGCTGTGTCTGTCGCATTAAATATTAAGGCTGAAAATGAACTGGTCTCTGTGGAGGAGGTGAGGGACAGGAGGGTGCTAGTCAAAGTCACCTCCATCATGGACAACACCTCCCACTGCACAGGACTGTAGAGGAGCTCTCTCAGTGGAAGACTGAGACACCCTCAGTGCTACCGCAGGGCCTTTATCCCCACCGCTGTCAGACTGTACAATAAGTCACTTTAAGTCACTTTAAGTCACTAAGGCATTAGGACTGAAAAACCTATTGACACTGTTCTGAATTGCCACTTTCTAATCCCCACTAACACTTTTATTGTACATAATATATCCTGCATTTAACATGTTTTGCATATTTCTTTCTTCTGCACAATCTTGAGTGTTTCTATCCATGCCAGATGTGACATGTACATTTCTCCTGTGTGAGATCAATAAAGTCTATCTTATCTTATCTTATCTTATCTCATCTTATGAAGAGCTTGTCTGGGGTCAACAATTCTATTTTATATATCAGGGTTCATAGTTTTTTGGTGTGGAAAGTTTGTACCGTTATATTGATCCCCTTTTTCATCAATGTCAATTTCTTTGTATATTTTCACACTGGAGTGATGTAATCAATGTATTACTTTTATGTCTCATGAGTTTGGAAAATCTCTTCTAGTATTTTTTTCTGAACAAAACTCGCTTTATTCTTGGTCTGAGCTTAAACTGGTATGGTAAAGAAGGCTAGAGATTGCAGAGTGACTTTTATTTTGCCCTAACTACTAATAGTTTCTCTTTGGGTTGAATATTTAGAATCATTTGCAGCTCAAAACCAATGCTTGTGCAAAAGAACCTGAGATATGCATTTGTAGCTGAAAAACGGTATTATCCTACTGCATGGAAATTCCAGTGTTGCCATAGACTGTGTAGAGAAGTGGGGTTGGTCAAATGAATCGGAAGCACTTAAACCCATACACCGTTGTGTGGAAGGAGAGAGCAAAATACAGGTGACCCTCTGGCCTTTTGTCTGATGGGCTGCGTGTATATTAGGGTGTAATAAATAACAGAACAGATCAGTCCTCATCCCAGACCGGCCCCTCCCCTCTCTCTGTCATTTCTCCGCCCACACAGTCTCTCCTTTCTCTTCCCTTCCAGCAGAGGAGACGCGTTTGGCCCATAGTCCCCGAGCACCTGCCCACACGCGCGCTCCGGACTACGGCTCCACGCTGCTAGTCTCAGGCGTGATGATGATGATGATGATGATGATGAGGATGATGAGGAGGATGACGAGGCACCGCTGCTGACACCATCTCCAGTGGACCTGTCTCCTTCACTGGTCGCACGTGTGGCACAAACACCTTTTGGACGGATGGATGGAGCGCCGCATACTACGTCGCCTCCGTCCTAATTTGCGCCCTTTGGTGATGTCATGGTTTGCCCCAAACTTGGACCGCTGCCTCAGTTCTGCTCTGGGCTCCTGAAGCACCGCTGTGGATGCTGCTGTGACTAAACTATCCTCGGATCAACTTTGGATTACGCGCGGATGGATCTCCCCTTTGCGCTCGCCTGGACTTGATAGTGTGTGGATTGTGGATGGCTGCGTGGACTAGTGGCCCTTCCTGAGGCGGTCAGAGGGTTGGATTGTTGCTCCGCTGCTCCATGGAGGAAGAGAGGAGCCCGAAGATGACAAGTGGGACCCGGGACACGACCGTGAACTCGTCTCCAGCGGTGGCGGCCAATGCAGAGGGAGAGGAGATCGAGATTTTGGAAAGTACAGACGTACTACCCTCAGCATCAGAGGAAGTAAGTTCACAACCTAATATGGCACAGTCCAGTGAATGTGTGTTGTCTGTATGTCAGCGAGTGGGTGCTCGTATTGTTTGGATTGATGGCCAAAGTCCCAGTTCCAACTTTCAAAACTCTCTGCAACAGTCAAAGTTGGAGGAAAGCCAAGCAACAGGTTTGTAGCTGAGTAATGGTAGTTTGTAAGTCTGCCAAGTGTATCCCTTCAAGAAATGATTCATCCTCACTTGTATCTTTAAAACGTATTGCCTTTATAAATGTGATATTACCAATTACATAGAAAATAACAATAATAGTAATCAAAAATTGTCCCACATAAATATGAAATTTGCAAACCTCTTTTCTGATATCAATAGGCCTATTATAAGTATGGGTGCTAAATGGTCCCTTTCCCCTCTTTGGGAAACACTGGCCTATCTTCCTCTATTGGTTTGATTTACCTGCAGTTATTTACGCGTTTCTGAAATCGGGTTATAACTTGCTGCTCCATTATCTATGCCTCATTTAACATAATGATTATGAGCACTACAAGTAAATGGCCTCTTAAATGCATACAGGTGCTTGTATAACAGCACTGGCCTTTTAGCTCTCCTCTGACTCTCTCCCCATCACTTCTTTCTGTTTGTTTTTCTTTGTCTTAGCAATGGAAAACTATGTTTGACAAGGTAAGCTTCCATTGTCTTTGCTCTCATGCATGTCTCATAGCTTGCAGCAGCAGCAGCAGTAGCAGCAGCAGCAGCAGCAGCAGCAGCAGCAGCAGCAGTGGTGTGACTGACGCTTACCATGTTTCAGCTTTGCAGTCAGAGCAGGGCAGATGTTTAAAGGCCACACTAACTGACAGAGACATTTGATGTGTTTTTAATGTTAAAACATGAAACCTATTTTACATCAAATGCAAAGCAAATTGTATTATTTTTTAAGATTTGGTCAAAGCTGTGGGCGGAATCGATCTTTGCTTGTGCTTTTGCCAGAATTTAAAAAAAATCTCTGCAACCTGTTTTCCAACTAACAAAGTGTCTGCCATCCCCTCTTTTATCATTTATATCATGTTTAAAAAACACAATTCATTCTAACGTCTCATTCATTTAAGACTTAGAATTGTCGATGGAGAAATGTGTGCATTTGACACCGCTGTGCAGAGTGCGCTGCAATGGGTCTAATGCAATTACAGAGACATCCTGTTTGTGTTACACAAGCTGATGTCATCGGAGAAACAGACACACCAACAATTATGTATGTAAGAAACCCCAGGAGACCAGAGACCAGCTGATCCATACATTTGGGCTGACAGACGGCAGGCTCCCCCTGCCCTCGTTATTGCACTCTGTGGGACTGTCCCGCACCTGCCTGTCCGGGGTCCGGGGCCCTGCACTGGGAGCGCGTGTCACACCACGCTCAGACACACTACAGCTCCTGGGGGATTATGCGGAACACAAGGTAGAAAATAACAGATTCAACTTATAAGTGGGCCTCTTAAGCCGTCCGTCTGAGGACGATGGAAGTGCCCTCAAGTGGAAGTCTGTAGCATTTATCTGAATAGCAAAGTGTGCGCTTGATGTGGCAACAACAAATCCTCTCTTTTTTCTGTCATTGTCCTCGGCTCTTTCATTCTACAAAGCACTGCTCCATTCGTCAATGGAATGACCTCAGAGAAAACGCTGTAAAAGTGTGGCCCCCATAAGAGTTTAAATAGCCTACGTCTGAAGACTTTGTCGAGGTGCGCGTGGAGAAACAAACAGCATCACATTTCCTCTTGTCTTTTTTGTGTGCATACAGTAACTTCTTCTATTGACTGTTCAGAAGGGTGATCACCAATTTCAGTGGGTTCCTTTGGATATTTATTGTAGTTTTAACAGGCTGTGAAGGCTGGAGCAGCTTTTTTTTTTTTTTTTTTTATCGCATCCTCGACAGATAATTTCCCTTCATCATTTGAACGTGTCCCTGTTGCTCTGGTCTGAATTTCAGGGCATCAGGTCCATCAGCGGAGTTGTCTTCTCCCTCACTCCTCTCACTTAATCTTGTCCCTGGGGAGGATTTTGTTGCTGTTTAAGTGCTTTCCTCTGTGTGCAGGAAGTTAGAAACCAAAACCTCATCCTCCATCACCTGAAACAAACACAAAGAGACGTGTGGAAGATAGATCCCTAAAATTATGAAATGTGGTTTAAAATATTAAGTCGAAATCTGCCACAAGACCCAGTGTTTGTGGGGGATTTGTCTGGATTTGAGTCTGTTGCCTGGTTGACAGTGTGTTCAGGGTTTATCTGATTATGTTGTCATAGGAACCAGACATGTTTGTTTATTTCTGCGACTTCAGACAAAAAATAATTAATGTTGCTATTTTTTGTTTAAAAAATTACTGAATGCAAAATTCTGTTTAGAACATGTATCAGGGATGATTATGAGGATGAAAACATTGTATTTTATGTGTGATATCAGTCATCTCCATTGGGCCAAAGGCGTCTCTGTTGAGTTTGCATGTGCTGCCCGGTATTATAATAGATCCAGGGTTCTGTCCTTCTCTGTGTTGAGTTCCTCCAGGTGCTCTGGTTTCTCCTACCGCTACAAATCAAGTACAGTAGGTATGAATGTGAATGAATAATTGTGCTGAGTGAATGAAGGGATGGTGGAGGTTTGAGGGTCCAGTGACACTTCCATCAGAGTGCCCCAAGGCAGCTATGACAACAATATTGGAAATAAAGGGCTTTGTGAACATTGGTCTGTGAAAGCGCCATATGAATGAAGTAAAGATGTCATGGTAAGTAAGTAAGTTAGTACGTTTTTATTTATATACCGCCTTTTCACTGCAGATCTGAGTCTCAAAGCGGTTTACAATTGTTAATTATGGGCATTTGTCTCTCACTCCACACAGAGATGGGAGCGGGGCCAGTACAGGAGGCACATGTCAGAACTATTGGACATATTTTTAGTGGTAGGGGAAACCGGAGTACCCGGAGGAAACCTACGCAGACACGGGGAGAACATGCAAACTCCACTCAGAAAGGCCCTGGTCCGACCGGGATTCGAACCCAGGACCTTCTTGCTGAGAGGCGAGAGTGCTATCCACTCAGCCACCGTGCCGCCCTGGTGCAAATGTTATTACACAATACTCTGATTATCTTTTCAGATGATGAGTTAATGCTTGAACACAAATCTTTCATTTTTGAAAGGCACAATGTCTGCTCCAACTTGACTCGCAGGGAGCTCTTAACCATTTTAATCACATTCAAATATGCCAACACTTAACCTGATTATTTGTCACATGTGGCTCTGGGGTAAGTTTGTCTCTGAACTGAATTTCTTTGGCTGTGTGTGTGAGAGTGTGTCTGTGTGTGTGTGTGTGTGTGTGTGTGTGTGTGTTTGTGTTTGTGTGTGTGTGGGTGGATGTGCTTGAATGTGTATGTATGTACCTGTGAGTGTGTGTGAGTGTATGTGTGTGTGTATATAGGTGTGTGTGTGTGTGTGTGTGTGTGTTCAGTGTTGGCAACATTCACCTCCCAGTGGCGTTGTGGCTCACCCCAGGCACGCGCCCGCCACAGCTTAGTGATTAAACACTTTCACATGGCTGCATACCTTCCATCAAAGGCGTCTCTGCTTCTAGATCTCACACGGTGGTGTATAGAATCGCTCCCATAAACGCGTTTCATGATTCGACAAGCTGCTAATGAACCCAACGGAGACAGAAAGTGTGAAAGAAGGTGATTAACCCTTAAATAAAGTAGACATCAACCCTCCTCAGCCTGATTCTGTGACGGTTTACCCGTTTTGCCCATAGAACGATGTCGTAAAGAATTATTGTTCTGAAATTGCAAGACCCATAAAATTTGGTCTTTAAAGACATACAGGAGGATTTTCCCAAATTTTAGGAAAAAAACGCTCTCTCCACTTTTTGAAGAAAACTCTTTTGTCTTATTGGACGAGCACGTATCATCAGAATGATTGAAAATTAGGAGAACCAATGTCTTGATGATCCACCCAGAAGCAGAAAATCTTCCTATGTACTGTACGTTTAATTTTTCTCTTTTTCTAATTAAAGATTGGGACAAAAATCCAGTGGCCACAAGTGCACAAAACAGTGGTCAATCTCCTCTCCCCACTTTTTAAAGTATATATATATATATATATATTTATTTCCATGGAAAATGTCCCACGATATGGTTTTAACTTTCTATTTCCATTCATTCATGAAGGAGACATGCCGCTTGCAGAGTGGCCTTTTCAGCCAGTCGCACACACAAAATAATGTGTGTGTGTGTGTGTGTGTGTGCGCTCAGCATAGGTTTGGATTATTATTATCATCATTATTTATTATTAATGTACTAACTCAAACTGATCTTAGTTCTACTCCACACAGACATAAAAAAAAGTGACACAGCTTTCTCTCTGGCTGGTTTTCCCTGATGAATTATTACACTGTAGTAAATTCTTTGGGAATCCCTGGCAAAGTGCAGTGGGGCGTTCAGCTGCAGCATGTTGCGTCACGTCTGGAAGAGGGTGTCATTAGTTAAACCGATGATGTCATGTCGAGGTTATGTTGAATTCTAAACAGAGATCTGTGCATTTTAGTTTGACCCTTATGGAATTATTTGTTGCCTTCATAGTCTGCAAATGAGCTGATATTCTTTCTGGCCTGAAAAATGCTCAAATCGTGTTGTTATTTTTAGCTGTATACCTATGTGGCAGTTCGGAGGGAATCCTTTAAAACATAATTTTGGACTGGAAAGTGCTTGTCATCCTAATTGCCATTGACACAGGCACAGATGGAGGGGTCACAGTCTGCTGACCTCCCCCTGTGGCTCTCTCTGACTTGGGCCCGAGAACATTGATCTGGGTGAATACTAAAATACTTCATGTTAAAGAGGCATTGAAACAGCCGTAATCACAGCTCCTCTGCTCCTCACTCTCTCAGCTGGAAATAGACGTAATAAAAGGCTGCAATTGGCAGAGCACAAAACACTGTCTAGGTGAAATCAGTGGGGTAAAAATAGAGCAGCATTGTCTTGGATCTTTGAAACCGTGTAGCTTTTAGAGCTTTTAGACAGAAGGGGTGCGGCCATTATTTTCTCCAGGGGCCCACATTGGGATATCATAGTACTGTGGAGGATGAGACGTGTTTTCATGCGGTCATCATTTCATTCAATTTGGCTAAACATATTTTCTGTAAAAGCTACTCAACTCGAAATTGAGCCAAAATATCCAATGTTTTCTTTGTTTTGGTTGTTTTTTTTCTTTTAACTTTTCAACACAAGGAATATATTTTATTTTATTTTGATATTCCGCTGTCGGTCGAGTGGCCAGTATAAGGAAACAGCTGGGAATGGTCAGAGGGGCCGCATAGCAACGTGAACAGGCCCCAGCCCACAGTTTGCCCAGGTCTCTTTTTAGACAGAAAGTTATTAGTTTGTGCCTCATATTCTAGTAGATGGAACAAAAAACAAGTTCTGGTCTGTGACTGAAGAGTAAACAATGTTGTAACAGGGTTAAAAGCTAAAAAAAGTTGCCTCAAACTTCTCCAGCATACTACAAACATGTTTTTTAGAGATGGCTTGGACTCCTCAAGGCAATCCTCTTTCATTTACCTTTACTTTTTAACTTGTTATACTTTTAACACCACTTTAATCACAGGTACATACATACACATTGTATTGTACTCTGTTTTATTCTGTCG